CTACCATGAAAACTGTGTTACTTCCGGTGCCATCCTTGGCTAACTCTTTCGTCACGCTCCTGCCAATGGTTTTCGGAGGATAGCACTTCTAGGATATCTCATTCATCGCCTTCCATCTTTACATCCGACGTCCCTCAACTTCTGTCAATGATTGGAATCTAAACAGACAAAACCTGTGATAACCTCGCGCGACGGGAGTTCCTGGCCACCTCAGGTGTATCCTTGTCCACTGTTCCCGCGTTGCGCGCGACAGAATGGCCGGTCCGCCAAATCCATTTGCTGGCCTTAGCCAGAAAGACGGCACAACGGGAACAGTAGGTCGTGGACGGGGTGGGACACTTGGACGTTCGGCGCCTTACCAAGCCAAAAATGGAAATGCGCCTCATAACCCCAGAGCCCGTGGTCGCGGACGCGGAGCAATGTCGGCTCCCAGGGCTACTCGTGGCCACGCCCGCGGGGGTGGTGCAGTGGGAAATACCTGGCGCAAACCCGACTCGAACGGTGGTCCATCCGCAAATTCGGCTTCGCCTTTCGCTCAATTGAAACAGAACGGAAATCAACATTCTCCGTCGCCCTTCGCTGGGAAGACTGCACCGCAAAAACCTTTGTTTCCCGGGCTTGGGAAAGCACCGTCATTTGGGGCTCCTTCCACTTTCGATGGGACCCAGGTCGATTCAAGTCGTGATCCCCGAAAGCGGCCTTCCTCAACACGATCGAATGGTGCGACGATGTCCAGTGTACCTGTCGAAGATGTGTCTGCTTCAAACAACTACAACGATCGCTACGAACAGGTCGGTTTTCATTTGCTATCTGCAGAGAGAGGTAGATTAAGCTGCTAATCGGATACACAGCTCAAACTCGATAGGGCTAAACAAAGAGAGAAAGCAATCAGGGAAGGACAAATGGCCGATCCAAACCAACCAACTTCTTTGAACCAAGCTATTACACCTGTCGGGACATGTACTAGTATGTGTCCCGAGTTTGAGCGCGTCGAGCGCATCGTTCAGAAGATGGTTGATAAAAGCGAAAAGGTATTCATGTAAATCAGTATCATTGCCCGGCCTGCGCTTACATTCCGGACCTAGTTGCTTCATCCTTCAACGAATTCGTTGCAGAACCTGGAAACGAAAATGCTCAAACGTTTTCGAAGATCGGCTGCTGGCTATGACGAGCAACTCCCATCCGATATTCGAACACCAAAGACCCTTCTCCAGACCATGAACTACTTAATCCGTCATGTAATTGGCGGACCCGAGCCCCTGGGGCTGATCCATAAGTTTGTTTGGGATCGAACTCGATCTATTCGCAATGACTTCTCAGTCCAGCAACTCACTCAGGAAGAGCATGTAAAAATGGCAGTCACCTGTCTCGAAAGGATTGCTCGTTTCCACATTGTATCGCTCCACTTGCTTTCTAGCCCTGCCAACGAAGAACCGTTCGATCATCATCAGGAACGTGAACAGCTTAATAATACGATGTTGTCGCTGATGTACTACTACGACGACAATCGGGGTCGCATATCGTTTCCAAACGAAGATGAATTCCGCGCGTACTATATTATCTTTTCCATTCTCGATCAGCGGCCCGACTTGGAAGCTCGTGTCCAGAAGTGGCCAGCTGAACTCCGCAATTCTCCGCGAGTTCAATTAGCATTGGAACTACTAGCTGCTGCTGGTAATGGGTGGGAGTATCAGGGAACGCTCGACTCTAAAAGGCAAAACGCAATTGCACAGGGCTTTTACGAGCGTTTTTTCAGTCTGGTGGACTCTCCAGCTGTCTCGTATTTGATGGCCTGTGTTGCAGAGATCTACTTCAACAACGTGCGACTGACTGCTATCCGCTCGATTTGGAAGGGGTATTGCCGTTATCCATCATCTCAGCAACAGAAAAACGAAGAATGGACTGTAAATGAGTTAACAAGAGTGCTATACTTTGATGACACTGAACAAACTATCAAGTTTTGCGAAGAACAGGACTTAGAATTTGCTGAGAACGCAAATGGTGACCTATATTTGAATTGGGGAAACCGTAACATTGACTCAGTCGGTATGTGTGACTCTCGGCGACGAAATCGCTTGATCTCTTTTGTCAGTTGAATTGGCCTTCGCTTTGACCGGATAATGGGTGAACGTTTCGTGATATCCGTTCTTCAATTCACTTCATTTCCTCGACTAACCCATTGAGTAACAGAGTTCCGAAGAACATCAGACCATACATTCTCAGAGACATATGTCGAGTCAAAGCGTGCAGGCCGCACGTTAGTCGCGGTCATTCTTGGTTTGAATATCACGCAAGCAGCACAATTAGGGATGGTTGACAGCTCAGATCTACAAGAGCGCCCTCTGGCTTTGCCTGCACCAACACTGGCGGCTTCTGCAGACGACGATGCACTCTTCGTCAGCGATGACGATAACGAGACACCACAACCAAGCGGGGACTTTGCGCAGGACGGATCAGTACAGGATTTGCCGACATCCGCAGATAGTCTTCGCGGGGCTTTTGAGGAATCGTCACAAACATCAACAAGTGCTGAGCCGACACAAACAGCAGGCATATTCTCCCAGACGCCTAGTGCATTACAGCCGTCTGAGGGTGCTACTCCACTGTCCTCTTTATTTGCGACTGGTCCCTCGGCTAGTGCTCCCACGGCATCGGCGCCGTCTAACCCATTTGCAGGCCTGTCTTCCCTCGCATTCTCAAAGACACCTGAGACAAATAACAGCAGTTCTCCATTCTCCCTTAGGCCAAATAATTCGCAGTCCACATCCATTTTTGCCGCAGCACCAGATCCGGTCTCGCAGCAGGTACAGCAAGACAAACCCGATGCGCCTAATACTATCTCCACGGCACCTACCTCCAAGTTCCCTAGTCTATTTCAACCCAGTACGACGCCGACCAGTTCACCTTTTACTTTTCCGACAACCTTATCAGATGCCAAGCCTCAAACCGCTGGGTTGACTGCTGGCCAGCCTTCCAGTATATTTGATACCACCAATGCACCAATACCTGCAGGCGCGCCTAGCGCCATGTTCAATACCACTACTCAGAGCACTGTTTCTAGCGATACAGGGGGTTCGCTCCAGACAAACTCTCCGAAATTCCCGCAGGGACCCTTTGCGCAGCCCCCAGTAGCCTTTCCGTCACCATTTGCATCGAAAAATAACGGTATGATTTGTACAGAATGCAATACGTTCATTCATGGCAGGCTCTAATAACTTTCCAGAGATCCCCAAGCCCACGTTACCCGACTCAGCCCTTAGGCAGGGAAGTTCTATCCTTGAGAAGCACATAGATAGCAGTGTAGGGCAAGAAAACCCTGCAAATCCTGAAGCACCTACGTTCACAAAAACGACAGCTGAGGAGCCTGTATCGAGGGACAAGCTTCCTTCATTACACAGTAATGATGCTACTCAGCAGCAGCAGGAGATGAATTCATCATCACTAGCAGAAACCAAACCAGCAGAACTTACGGCCTCTGCAACATCTATCAAGCGGGACAATCTAAATGCCATATCTCCTTTACCTACCCCTTTGGCTCCAGGGCCTACAGAGCCTACAGTAGATGAGGCTACTTCTGTCGGTGAGTTAATTCGTGGCATTAAAGCAAGGCTACTCTTCTGCGCAGTGGGTCGCTAATATGACGTTCCAGATCCCGATGCGAACGACCGACGTTTGGCTTGGATAGAAACTTTAAGAGAAGCAGCTGATAAGCGACGGAGGACCTCTTCGACAAGTCGCAAGCGAGTCCATGAAGACCCAGAAGAAGAATTGCCGATAGAAACTGGCTCTAAGGCTGCGAAAGTACCGAAGGCGGAAACCCCAGCGTTACATAAAAAGTCCATGGCGCTTTCCTCTATCAAACCTCTACCAAAGCTTCCTATCCTAGAACAAATTGAGTCAATGACGCGGAAGCCGGCAGCCGAACCCAAACCCGAACCTCCAAAGCCGAGTCAAGTTGACGAGGATGAACTCCTCCTTTCTGCTGCCCGTATAGCCGCTGAATCTCTCAGGAGTGGTCCAAGACTTATAGACAACTGGTCTACTCGGTCATCTGAACCTCGGCGCTCGTCTTTCAGTCCTCGAAGCAGTTTCTCTTCGTCATATTCTTTCTCCCGGAGTCAATCGCCCCAATCACTTGTGAACGGGTATGACCTTGCGCTTGCCCCTGATACCGATCTCGGACTGGGCCGCACACTGTCTCGCACCGAACAAAGACTTCGTATGACGGGTGGCAAAGGGCTGGCCTATAAGCCACTGGACTTTACCCCTAAAAAGAAACGAAAATCAAAATAAAGACCGCTGAGTAATCGACAACACGATTGCACATCCATGGGAAACTTTATCCCATACTGTTACATGCGTTCAAGGCTGACATTGGTTCTTTCGATGGAGCCATTGAGGTACATATTGTCTGAGGTGTGTTGGAGTTCATCATCTGCATTGGGTGACGGCGTTAAGCGAATTCTGTGTTTACTTATGGTTTCGAGAGTTGCTGCATACCTGGGTCTCAAGCATGGCGCGGGAAAGATCATATACCTTGATTTGTTCTGGATCTTAGCGAGTGGGACTCAATTTGCGCCCACCTTTAGTTTAGGTTGTTTTGTTGTACTATTATTGAAACTCTATGGTTTTTGTTAGACTAGTGTATACAGATTACATAGTCATTGATTTTTAAGAACATAATATGCCCACCTACTCTCCATGAAAGAGATCAGTTATTAGTATGTACAAGCGGTCGCTGAGGGAGTAAATACACCCCTGGTGGCCTCAAGCTACGAACAAAAGACCCACCGCCCAACCCCACCGCTGGAGTTTTGTCACTGGCGAAACCAATCAGAACCAACATCAACGCCCTATCGACTTTCATTCCACAGGCGCTCCTCATCTGCTTGATACTATTTACAACAGACAAAAGTGCTCCTGGTATATTTCGTCATCATTGCTATTCCGAAGCAACTATATTCTCTCCTTACTGGTTTCGGCCAACAGGGTCGACCGTTTGTATCTTCTCCTGCGATTCATTCCGCTGCTTCTAATACCCAAAAGAGATCCCCTTCCACGCATAATTTCACACCATTCCCTGTTCTGCGTATATACAGCCAGCAGCGCAGGGAAATGAGAATTGCCACCTTACAGTTCGCCCCAAAATTGGGGGATGTGGAAGGCAACATCAGACGGGCCAATGAATTGCTACAGCATGGCAAAGTGCTCGGAGGTGTTGGGGTTGGAGTCGACATCTTGAAGCCGGAGATTCTGATATTGCCTGAGCTAGCTTTAACTGGTATGTTTTGTGTTAGTCTTTCTTTATGGGCGCCAATGCTGATGCTCTATGAACAGGCTATAACTTCCCTTCGCTAGAGGCTATCAAGCCATATCTGGAGTCTGCGGGGAAGGGACCATCAGCTACCTGGGCACGAGAAACTGCTAGACGCTACCGATGCAAAGTGTGCGTTGGGTATCCTGAAGTCGAGGAAGCTGGGGCAAGCCAAGGGGATGGTTCGAATAGTCAGCAGGAGATGTACTACAACTCTCTACTTGTAGTAGACGAGAAAGGGGAAGTTCTACACAACTATCGCAAGACGTTTTTGTACTATACGGATGAGACATGGGCCGTAGAGGGTGATGTGAAGAGGGGCTTTTGTGAGCTTACCTTTGGTAATTCGCCAGAACAAAATTCTCCTAGCACCAACGTCGCCACTTCGTTCGGAATATGCATGGATATCAACCCGTATAAGTTTGAGACACCATTCACCGCATGGGAATTCGCAAACCGAGTGCTGGATTCGAAATCTCAACTAGTCGTCCTTTCTATGGCTTGGCTGACATCGTTGGGCCGGGAAGAACTCGATGCTCTCGCTGGGGAGCCGGAACTGGATACCTTTAACTACTGGATCCAGCGGTTTTGGCCCCTCATCAAGAAACGATTGCGCCATGAGGTTAATTTTGATGGGGACGACGCTGAGTCTGGCAAGAAGACGGTTATTGTTTTTGCGAATCGGGCGGGAGAGGAACCAGGCCCTGAGGGAACCAACCCAGCTCTGTACGCTGGCACAAGTGCTATTATTGCTGTTACGCAACTGCCGCGACACCCCTCGGCTGATGGACGAACTAGTGCGGCGGACAGAGGTCCTGGGAATGGGTCCGATGAGGATCAGAGTGGGGACAAGGACACATCGCCGTTTGATGTGAAAATACTGTGCTGGGATATGATGGCCGCGGCAGCCGAAGGAATTTGCTTTGCGGATACAACGATGGGCCCAAAAATGGTTTTCGGCCTAGTTAAAGCTAGTAGATAGTGTGGTTGGGCTTTGAGGAAGTATCCAACGCCCGGGGGATAATAAGTATCCTTTCATAAATGTCGGTGGATGGGAAGTATAACATGTTTGAGTCTGTCATCGCGCGATCTGGATGCTCGTACTCGTAATGATCTATAGCCTATCTACTACAAGAGGTGGGTTGTCAGGATCGTGAATATGCTACAATTTGCGAGCCATTCTCTTCCATCTGTTCAACTATGCTAAAACGCCTTGTTCTTTTTATTTTTGCGACGATAGTCTCACGAGTGGTCGGTCAGCATTCCGATGAACGTCTTGCCACACTTACACGTCTAAGAGTCATGTGGGTCACTTGACAGTCATACTGAATGCTTGTCCATGTGATATTTGTTTCTTTCTTTTCTGCAAAGACAGGGGGGATTCTAGACTTAAAAGTCCGGCGAATAACCACCTAATAGGTGCTCAAGCAGTGGCCCTGATAAACTATCGTCTCAGTACCTCCCTTTTACTTCACGCGCCCGTTATTTTCTTTAACATTCCACTTATCTTATGACCAGATTGATCGGCGCCTTTTCAGATGGTGTCGAGAATACAATCTTGATGGGTGAGAACAGGTTTTCTTAATACAACCCTAGCAAGCATCCCCACAGACCATAGGCCTTAGATTGGACACTGTCGCTGAGTGAAGAACACAACTGGGGGCGTTGAGCCTCTAATATGCGCGCGGTGGGCACATGTGACACTAAGGTCAGATGAAGTCATTATTTCTTTTTGGGGGGGTGCGCAGTGAGCTAAATATGGTGGAGGGATAAAGAAAACCGCTGAATCCAATGGGAGAGGATCTCAAGTCAGGAAGGTTCAGCGAAAGACATTTATTGCATCTGTCAACTGAGACAATTATTCATTCTTTGGGAAGGTGTTCTCCGTGCTGGGCTATTGAACTATCGAGATGTTTCTTCTGCCAATGAGGGGGTCAGAAATCCTGGCGGACTTGAAATGTTGACTGATTCCAGAATGATCAGATCGGGGGGATGGGGCTGTTAGGCTAGTGATCCTGTTATACCTCGAAGACCAGGCGGACTAGGTGATCGGCATCTAAAATGGAAAAAATCGAGAGACATGGCATGATCCCCGTCATTCGTCGACTAAATAACTGATATTATGCGTTTTGGACCGTGCAACCTAAGCAAGGACCAAAGGAGGGACGGGCCGGTCGGGATGAGCAGGCACTCCCAAATGGGGGGATTTAGTCCTCCAATGACACCATTCTGCATGAGGAGACGGTGGCCATCATTCGATGAACACTGCAGACCTGGGGAAACATCGCAGAGTTACTACTAAGAGTTCATGATCTTCGTCCTGTCTTCTTTCAGGAGGGCTGCAAGAACCCACGTGATTTCCGGGTGAACCCCTCCTCCGGTAACCGGCCAAGGCGAAAACAAGTAGCCAATCAGATATGCAAACGGGGACCTTGGATGAGGAGGGGGCACGGGATTGCAGCACATGACATCTAAATGGGAAAGAAGGAGGGAGGAAGAAAACCGGTTGGATTAACTTGGGAGGGAAGGGCTACGGAAGATTGGTTGATAATGAGCGGACTGACTCGGTGCAAGAACTTCCCAAGTCGTCCTGCGATCGATGGATCGATAAAGGAAGAGATAAAGAGAGGCTCCGTTGTCCCGTGACTAGAGTGCACACCAGGTCACAACCGGTCACCGCATTCCTCCTCTTTTTGGCCAAAGGCTTGACCTCGTCTTTCGCCCTCGCCACGTGAGCAATCCCTCTCTACTCGACTCTCTCTCTACACCTCCATGTATCCCTACTTTCCATTGTAAAAGCCGCCACTTCTTTTTGTTCGTTTTCAAATCCGGCTTGTCCGCTGTGTTGAAGCCGGACGATTCTGCCTCGACCATTTCTTCCCGATACAAATTTCGTTTTCTTGCTCTCACGATCGAATCGCGATCATCCTATCTTGTTGTTGCCCGTGGCAGGTGACTTGCTGTCAGGTGATAGATAGTCCATCCCAAGGTACTGCTGCTCCCTTTCTTCTCGTTTACTTCCTCCTTGTTATCCGTTCTGCCAACCGCAACAACCCTTCGCGGGTTGCTGCTGCATGTTGCTCCTACTATTGTCCCATCCATCGCCTTGGTTTTCATGCTGTCCGCCATGAACCGGTCGCGAGGAGGCTGTTGCCTATGATGTCGCGCGGTTACGTCGGTCGCAAAACTGTCAGGGCGCGTTTCTACTGTAGTTGCTGATGGATACTGCTCGATGTATCTCTGTCCTATGGCTTTATTTGTGCACCCGCGATCTATATGTTTAGGTGTATACGTGAAGAGTTTTGCTTTGCCGCTGGCATGATCTCACTGACCAGATGTTATTGATGTGGATGTGGATGCGGAGATGCGCGCGTCAACCCCCCCCCCCCCCAAACGCGTCTCCCTGCACCTCAGCATCAATGCTGATCAGCATGATCCACGCTTTTCTATTGATTGAATAAATTTCTTCTTTCTAGATTGGCATTACCCATATATCTCAACACAGCTGTTTCTGCTTTATATGAGACTTACATCTGCACTACTGACCATTGAGCTGTGATAACTGACAAAACCATGTGGTACATAGATCACTCACTCAACAATAGATTGGTGTCAGTAGCTGTGCAGGATCGTGGTTGCCCGATCTCATCTAGACTCTACCTTATCTAGCAGGTAAGCAGGGTCTACTGACGCTCCTTCCCACTGGTCTGCTGACATCATTCGTTTGTAGGGTAGTTTACTTGTAACACTCGGCGCCATGTCCGATCCCTCATTGGGTGCCACTGATGGCATGAACAATAAAAGAAAGCGCGAAAGCACTGACAGCACCGGGCCTGATGCTCAGCGATTGAACCGCTCCTCCAACGGAAGTAACGGCAGTATTCCAGGCCCAGATACCCAACCTAATTTCGGTCATACCTCGCTCGCATCTTATGATACTCATGGCCTCCCTGGTGCAGCATCGGAGCTTAATATTGACCAGCAAATTCTCCAGCATGTCGGTCCGCAGAACGGTATCTCTGATGAGAATGCTCTGACTGCTAAAGCTGCTCTAGCCGCGCACCAACCGCAGAATAAATACCCACCTCCCCCAGACGCGACATTTGACAGTAGCCTTCCGCATGGCCTGACGTTCGGAGACGAAATGGGCCAAGCGATAGGTGGCGCTCATGGCCATAATTCTACCGCCGCTGCTGTCTATGCTGCGCGCGAAGCGCAGAGCATGAACCAAAAGCCCTCCGTTGGGTCGCCGGAATGGCATCAGATCCGCAAGAACAATCACAAAGAAGGTCGGTCGCTTTCGCTGCTTTCTTTCGATCCTGTCACTGACTTATTTAAAAGTGGAACGCCGACGTCGTGAGGCGATCAATGAAGGTATCAATCAGATTGCTCGTCTTGTTCCAAATTGCGACAAGAACAAGGGTGCTATTCTGCAACGCGCGATTGAGTACATTTGTCAGCTTCATGACGAAAAGAAGGCAATGAGCGAGCGATGGGAGCAGAATAACATGACTACGAGTCATGCCATCAACGAGATCAGCGCACAAAACTCCAAATTAAAAGTCGAAGTCAACCGCCGTGGAGACATTGCGCTCAAATGGTTGCAACGCTGTCGCGATGCAGGCCTCGAGTTTGACGATTATGAGGAGGCCAAAGAGCTGGAGCCTCTTGAGGTTGATCAGGGCCAGGTTTGACATCCGGTTCACTTCTCTTTGCGTATACATTAGTCGCGAGACTTCCTTTCTGCGATGATCTTCGTTCCGTTCTACACGTGCCACGACTTATTTTCTTCTCTTTTTGAAGGCTGGGAATCCTGACATAACCACTCTTTCTCGACATCTCCTTTCCTCTTCACATCTCGACTGTCCTCCCTCCCTTGAACAAACTTTTTCAGATTTGCTGTGATGCCATCTGGCAACAGCATCGTGTTTTTATTGAATTTGCAGGTACAGTCTGAGTTCATCTTCCACTGGGAGTGAGTACGTGACTAGTCTTTACACGCTAATTGTTTAAGCCTGGGTTCGGTTTTCTGCTATGTTCTCTTCTCTATTCGCGTTACCCCTTCTGAAATTCCTTTTTTATTTTTTTTATTTCCTTTCGTGTACGCTATCTTTAAGGATGGGTCGGCGAAACTATGGCTGGGAGTGTGTTTAATACGGATGCTGAAGCCTGCGATATTGCAGCGCGTTATCGGAATGCAATTCTTCACTTTGAATCTTGCCCTGTAGTTGAAAACATCATTTCGATGGTTTATAGGCTTTTATGTGAGCGGCTTAGTTTTGTAACACGCTATAGTGGTATTCAAAAATCGAACTTTTAAATTTTCAAATGAACATGTACAGAGAAAGGAAGGCTGAAAGGCAGGAACAAGCTCTAGGGTTACGAACTGACCCCAGTTACCCTCCCACCAAAGCATCAAAGTATAATCGATACATCGTAGACAAGAGAACAACAACAACAATAACAACAACGGCCATTCAACCCCTCCTCCCCTCCCCAAGACACACAAAATAACTAACTACCGAATCACTATCTAGATCCATCTACTCTAAACATTCCCACCAGCAGTAACCTCCGCCCCCGCAGAAACACTCACATCCGTAACCGTCACTACCTTCCCACTCTTCCCAGTAACCCTCACATCAACCGTCTCAGTCCCGAATCCCGAACTATTCTCGAAATAGTTATAGTCCGAGCGAGTAGTGCTCTGCCAGGTACTTCCACCATCGGTACTAACCTCCAACGAGGTAACGGCCTCATTGGCATTGACAACCTGCATCGAGAACCAGTATGCGGAGGTACCCTCCTTATTCTTGAGTTTTAGGGGTGTGTCAATGTCGCAGGAGACGTAGTTCCAGGTGATGTCGATAACGCCCTTGGAGATGTCGGCTAGCTCGGTGAAGGCGGATTGGAAGAGGTCGAGGTGGTTGGAGTCGCATTCGGGGCATTTGTCGACGATCTAGTTTGGTTGGGTTGGTTAGTTTAGGTTTGTATTGGTTTGATCGAAGGAGGGAGGGAGGGAGAAGGAGGCAATGCTTACCATGGCCTTGATAGTGTTTCCGTTAGGGCCTGTTACGGCAACGCAGGCACCGCATTCGGCGGCGTTGTCCCAGCGTGGGGAACCGAGGGCTGTCCCGAAGAGGTTGGATGGGAGTGTATAACCTGAGAAGGAGCATGTTCCGCCGGAGATATTGCCGCCGTAGAAGGTGGCTTCGCCGGAGTTGGATGCGCTGCTGCTGCTGCTGCTGCTACCGGAAGACGAGCCGGTGGATGAAGAGGTGGTGGAAGTTACTGGGGCAGCTGTGCTGGTGGTTGATTGCTTGAGCTGTTTGGTTGTGGGAGCAGCAACCGCGGTTGTGGGTTGGACATCAGCAGTGGTAGAAGGTGTCTCAGCAACAATTGGGGTTTCTGCTGGCGCTTCGGTGGAAGAGGATGAAGTAGAAGGCTCGACGACTACTTCTGTAGGCTGGGCATCAACGGTGGTGGAGGGTGTAGCAACTGTTGGAGCCACCACGGTTGTCTCGGCGGTAGGTGATGAAGTGGTAAGCTCGACAGGAGCGCTGGGCACCACGGGAGCAGGCGTCTCAACCGGAGCAGGAGTCTCAACCGGAGCAGGAGTCTCAACCGGGGTGTATGTAGGAGATTGGACTGTAGTCTCCGTGACGGTCGACGAGGACTCTACAGTTGTAGTTGGCTCAGCTGATGAAGTCGGTGTCGGAGTAGAACTAGCAGTAACAGTCACATAGTAGACACTCTGAGTGTATCCAGAGGGACACAGGGACTCGCCCTCGTGTCGAATGAGAGGGCTTGCAGAGACAGATCCCGAGACACTTAGGGCAGCAAGGCCCAGGGAGGCAAGACGTTGATACTTCATAGTGAACGTTTTGCAGACCGAAGATCAAAGATCAAATGTATGTCTCAAAACCGGGGTAGATAATGAAGTAAAGAGTGATAATTCCTATCTCCCTGTCTGCAAAGGAATGAATGTATTGGGTGTGAAGTAATGACAGGACGTGCAATCAGCACTGACTTGGTTTCAAAGAATGAACGGCTTCTGGACCTCGGATTCCAGAGCCAGTCGACCTGTTGTTTCAAACAGAAAAGGAATGATTGAGAGAGGGAAATGGGAAGAAGAGGAAAGGGGATATAACAGAAGGATCACGGGTATACCGGCGAGACATAGTCCGGAGGTCAGTAATGAGAGCGGACACGGCTATGGTTCGTGAAATCCTCCAGTGGATCCGTACTTTGTAGTTTAATTTCCCAACGCCTATAGTCAAGACTGGATTTAGCCTATAGGCAGGGCCCAGATGGAGTGATGCCTATCCGGCTGTGGTCCGGATCGTTTAGACCCATCGCCACGATCCACGTTCGGCGTTTCATATAAAGATCTCATTTCGCTAGTGGGCGAATAACCCCAGGCCAACTGCTGCCACTTCACATTGTTCTCACAAAGTCTTACGATCTATTGATTAAAGACATAACGCTAAGATATTACATTCTTGGATGATTCATTTCGTTAGATTGCAGGTGTTCAGTCATCAATAATACAGCAGCCATAACTCCGTAGTAGAAATTACCATGAACTTGTACACAAGAACAGATCGAGGTAGAGCATCAATCAACATGTCCATACCCAATTCACATTGTAAGTGTGACAGCATCGAGATATCTTTTGATTTTTTTTCTTATCGACTTGGTTTACCCAGTGGGTCAAGTACGGTCCTTGTGGTTCGGATGAGCTGCCATGAGACATGCGTAAAAGTTTATTCACGAAACACCCGTATCTTCGCAGCGGGAAAGATAATAGAGGTGGATCTGATACTACCATTGTATGGGTCAAAAAAAGATGACATCCTAAGTGGATGGCTGGTCTCGTCCCCCGAGCCGGAATCGAGCCGGCGACCTTTCGGTTATATGTGAATTTTCCATTACAGCCGAACGCCATATCCAACTAGACCATCGGGGGTTTTGAGATATCTGCTTTCTCGCCTTTTAGTATTATCTAGCCTTCTCAGCTTGGATGAAGAAGCAAGAAAGGGCCGCATGGCGTCCGAGAATGCTTGCTTTCGTCTCAAGTATAAATGTGGGGCGAGCGCCACCCACTCTTTGTTCTTTGTTTTGCTGGTCTTGGAAGTATGTTTTAAAATAATCTTGCCTATAAAGGCATATACACAACAACAACAATAACAAAATGTCTTTAAACCTCCTATGGTCTGGTTGGATATGGCGCTCGGTTCCAATGGACGTACACATATAATCGAAAGGTCGCCGGCTATTCCGGCTCGGGTCAGAAGCTTTTTGTTGTTCATGCTATCAAGCATGGTACGTAGCCCGAACATGTATTTTTTTAGATCATCTAACCGAGCAGAAAGCAAAAGATAGCAGATCATCACAAAAAAGTGTTTCCCAAAGACACAATCTCTATAGTCTTATACAACTATCTCGACGGGAGCCTGTACCGATAGTCCTATCCTTTGCACACACCTAGGCATCAGGCGTCGGATAGCATATTCCCGCCGTGGATGAAATTACTTAGAGTTTGTTCCGGATACATTAGCTATAGATTTGCTGTTTGATTGTTGGAGGGAATGACGAGAATATGTTTATCTTATTAACTACACATCTTCAACGCTTTGCTATACTACCTAGATATAGAAACATGTTACGGCTTGCGCTCGTTGCGATATCTATCAAATGAAATGCAAAACAATTCTTATATGGGGATACTCATACGCTTCTTGGTGACCTTATGCCACAAGAATGATTTTGAATATCTCATTGAAGCCGAGAGCCATATCCAACTAGACCAACGGGGGTTGAGAGATGTGCTTCTGAGAGGAAAATTGATATCTAAAGGTAGAATAGAATCTCCTAATTCATTTCGCACACTTGGAAAACTCCGTTTACTTATGTCTTGCAAGTAAACAGAATAATAACAATGGACTAATCAAGCATTACACTTGAACATAGTATCATAATATCGGAGATCATCAAACGTAAGATATAGACATGCTCACTCGTATATCCCATAAATAATCCTTGAAAATGTAAGGAAATTGAATGGTGAATCGGTGATACCGCCCAGAAGCTATATAGCGTGCCCAGCCCTCTATGCATGATCGCTCCGGCCAGAATAAGGCGCCAGCTACCCCAATGGCCCTGTTCTCAATTAATGAATTTTTACCAGATAGGGGGCGATCCCCATCCCCAAGGCATAAAAGATCATGCTCTGAGTAGATGAGAGAACAAAAATCAGCCTTTGTCTTCATGAGAAATAAGGCTTAATAAATACCGGGTGAAAATATCATCTATAAAAGGCAAGGCATTTCTTTTTCACCCAGCAATTGGTTCCTATATCTCTCTACTACCCCAGCAGTTCAGACACTCGTACATGTGATGTAGGACTACTGGCCTATATACCTTCTTCCACCTCTACAAAGCAATGCTCAGAACACGGTTTCGGACATATACTTGGACTTCAGGCTAAGAAACAAAAGGTAATCGAAGGAGTTTCGGACGGGAAGGTCTCCAAGAATATCCTTAGACTGGGTACCTAAGAGCTGGCTTACTTATCTGTACCCCGTAGGTGCTTCCAATCCGTTTCTCTACTTTAACCATGTCGCTCAATGCCAACTTCATTCTAAGGAATTCACTAGGGGGGTTCATATTTTATCTTATCCGAATGGCTAAATGGTGCGATGCTGGTTATTACTCACACACCTGCAGCTGTCATGCGTATGTTTAATTGAAGATAACCAAGACCAAACTCAAGCAGCAAGGGCAATTGGCAGATAAAAAGGCCTACTATCGGCCTACTCTATGGTAGAACCAAGAGGTTCTGCATCCGATGACAACCGTGGAAATATCCTTTCCATGTAGCGGACCATATGCGATCTACTATCATTAGGAAATGCACTGTCCTTAAAATCTGGAATTTGGCTGTCTCGCGGCCCTAGCACGACGGTCAAAATGCCGAGGGCGTCAACAGAGCACCAAGGGATAATCTACTAATTGTGCAACTGGCGTGTAGTAGCTGTCAAACATGGTTCCTCTTTCGAATGAACAAGTTTTCAGAGGAAGAAGTCGAGGTCCTACTACCTGGAATCCCACATTATCTCATTCAACCTAAGGAGTGCGTCTGCGCTTGCTTTCTTTGCAGCCATGAACTCTTCTCGATTCTCCGCACCTCTAGGCCCCTTGAGAATATCCGAGAAGCAGAGATCGACGAGGATCCTAAGCTCATCGTAGGTAAATGGCTCGCCATTGCCAGCAGCCAAAGCTTTTTCCGGATGTGTAGCAAATGATTCTTTTTCATCTTTTGCGTAGTCGAGAGCCTTCTCGGCGCCTTCCAGGAACCAGTCCAGGAACTTAGCACTACGCGGAAGAGCGACAATCTCATGGTTCTGATCAGATGCCCGTATTGCACTTCCTTCCTCGTCCGTATCCACAGCTGGGTCAATGATGATGTTCTTCAGGTTTTGTTGGAGGACGAGGACGTCCAACTGAAGTCGCAGGGCCCCATTCTGATTCATAGCGCCGATAAGATGGACACGAGCAATAAACACACGATCGATAAACCTGGCCAATCCTGATGTGATATACCAGCGCTCGGCCGATCCCAGATACGAAGAGATGTTTGTATCAAAAGAGATCAGATCATTGTTTAGCTCGAGTACAGTTGGTGAAGCGGACGTTGGTTGGTTCAGGACTATATGCCACCAAGAAATGTTTGAGTTTGGAGAGGGGGTTGTAGGTTCGGAATTGCGGTTGTTGCTGGGGTCGGGGCCAGCCATGGTCCTCGTGAGCATGTGAATAATACCGCACCGAATGTCAATGTGCAAAGCAAAAAGTGCGGTTGAAGAAAGATCGCGTAGCGATTCGATAGTAGTATCGAAAGCAGTCGCAGTTTCTTGATTCAAGGGAAGGTACACGGGTTGGTTTGATCCCTCACGTTTTGGCGCCATGGCACCAATCAAGGTCCATCTGCGGTTTGGCGGCCCGCTTTCTTGTGGCTGCCGTGGTTCAGATGATGGCTGCGTGACTTGGCGCAATTTCAGTAGATGGCTTGCAAGCCATTGCTTGATCAGTGTCAGTAACAAGATCGAGATACAGATGAAAATGGTCGACTCACTGTGCTATTGTATAGAAGAGAGAGAGCCATAACGGTCTTAGGGTCAGAGATGATATCGTACGGCTCCAAAGGCACTTTGTTAGTGTGTTCAAGGAGAAGGTTGGTTTCCTAAGAAATAGTTAGTAACAATTGCATCCTTCCCCAAAAATCATATTCACCTTATCCACAAGCTCCTCCTTGTTGTTTGCCTCTGTTCTCCATAGCTCACTGACTACATCGTGGATGTCACCCGATTTGGCATATTGCGCAGCGGCCTTGAGTCTAAATTCACCATTGTCACGAGGGGAAATTTTTGTCACGATGGCTTATACATCAAATCAGAAAAATGCGTCAAGAAGTGTAGTTTCCGGTCCTTACCTCTGTACCACCCGCAGCATTTATCATAATAATTCACAATTTGTGTAATCAGTAGTTGAGTAAATGCTTGGTCATGGGGAATACTAGACAGCATTTTGCTGAACTCGCGGATGATGGACATGAATTTAACCGTACCCTAATGCACCCAATGTCAGAGAAGCTCAAGTGCTTCGGGATGTTAATGGCTTACCTTGAAGACTGGACGCGGCGATACCGCCAACCATTGGGGATCTTCTGTAAATGCATCTGGTGTAATGTAGCTCAGCATGCAGAGATCTGTGACCGTCTCATCAAACTGGGGGAGGAACACATTGACCATAAAGTCATCCAAGAAGGAAGTCAAGGTACTCATAGCAATATCGGAGTCCACGGGCACAATTTCCTTTAGGCGTTGAATGAAAGAAAGCGACGGTGGAAGAAGGATACTCATGTTGAATACACTTGGTTCAATAAGAATCTTATGGCCAGTTCCTGAATTTCCTTGCTTGGAATCCGAATTCCCATTTGGAGTAGATTTCTGTCGTGTCTTCGACACTAGGCCTGGGACGGAAGAGCGGAGTATTTCATCTAATTCATTTTGTTCGGCTTTCATTTCCATCGTCCCATCCGTCTCGGACAGTTTGAACATTTTCTAATACCATCAGCGATTGTACACGGTAAACTATTCTTCGCTGTACACACCTTGCTTTTGTCTCTGTAGCCCGAGTAAAGATGGCGCTTGGAGTCGTCTTCGCCTCCTGGTCGGAGGGATGATTCTCCATCGGTCGCTAGATAATCATGCATGAGTGATCGAATCTGTCACATAAGTTAGGTGAATACAACGAAGACACTGTCAAGGAGGCCATGTTCAACTGCCTACCTCACTTTGGTAGAGTTTCCACAGCTCTTTGAAGCCCCCTGCAAGGGCGCTGCTTTTAGGAATGCCTTCACGTTCAACAATAGCTGCAATGACATCATGGACAACGCGATGACCTTCGGCAATAGATTCGAATTTGGCATACAAGGTCCACAGAAACTCAGATAGGACATGCCCGCGGTTCTCGATTGTTTCGGTCGGTAGGTTTGTCTTGCTCTCCTTTGCTGCAAAGCCGCGAGTCAAGTTTGGATAGCGTACGTCAACTTCCGCGTTTGTTTTGTCAACCACTGCAAAGAGTTCAACTGGAAGCCGCTGTTCAATCCGGTCGACAGCGATATCCAAATGGCCCATTTTATTCAATGCTTCGATTATGAGTCGAATATAGTAGAACGTGTCAGCTTCTGGGTTGCGAGAAGCATCCTCCACCATGGGGGCCGAAGCGTCCAGCTTCGCAAGGAAAGTGTAAACAGGTCTGTCCCAAGATGCGCCAGCCCATCCAGATTGACTTGCACTGTTGTTCTCCCCCTCCGGGGTTGGTGGTTTCCATCGATTCGAGCAATAAGGAGATTTAAGATATAAATGATCGTGCAACTCTTCTACCAGTATATCTGTGAGTGATATTTCTTGGTTAGTGAAGTAGGCGCGAATATCTGCGAGAGCGCCAATATTGTCCAGCTCAGAGCGCCGCAAGAGACGGAAAGCATCGTGAAGTACCTCAACCGCAGCGAGGAATCGCTTATCGGATATTCGCGACTCCAGTTTCTCCGGAAGCGATTGGATCTCTTGGATTTGACTAAACAACTGGATAATATCATCGTACTTCTGAGAAGAGGTCGCTAGGTCTTTGAGTTCGGGTTTAGTCGAGAGTAACCCCGATTTAGCCTGTTCCAGAGCATGTTTCAAGTTACGAACTCGGCCTTGAGAGCTTTGAATATTTGACTGAATTTTATGATAAGTACCGATTGAGCTGTTAAAGCCCTGGTGGTGTTCTAATAATAGTTCTCTTAGCACAGATCCATACCAGCCAATAGTTCGCGATGACCTACCGTTAACGACAGATTTCAGGGTTCTTTGGATTCGATTATGCACATTCAAAAATTCAGGCTCGCGATCGGCTTTCCCCAGAGTACTTGTGTCCATTAATTGCAAAGCTACCTGAACTGGGACGCATTCGTCCGAGGCTACGAGATCCCATTCTTGTTGAATAGACTGCAGAACCTCTGTGATGAGCATGGATAAGAGTTAGTAGAGGGACAAAGGCATTTGAAACTAATGAAGTGTAAATGGCTTAAAAAAATCCATAGACAAACCTTCAACAGCCTGAGACCCAGCCGTGTTATAACTAGGGATATTTGATTCTTTCTCCCGGCTGCTATCAGGCAACCGGGTATTGTCTCCTTGAGACCGGCCATCTCGCGACGAACTTTGTAGCCTTCTCTCGGGGTCTCCGTCTCGTTCTCGCGTGCGTGAGCGTGATGATGAATATTCGCGATCTCGATCCCAATCTTGTCGTTCGCGGCGTCGGTCGGGTGATTGGGACGGTGACAACCCAGGTTGCTGCGGCGTCTCAGGGTAAAATCCACCATAGCCCCCTGGTCGACGCTCTCGTCCACCTCCGTAGCTGTTTACAGCCAGATTGTTGCTATTTCCATAACCTCCATCAGTGCGGTCATATCGGCTGGTGTCGGGATGCCCGTATCCATTGGCGTAATTTCCTCGGCCACTCATACCAGATGTCTGTATCTAGCGGATATTAGATATGCAGGGCGGAGAATTAAGAGGATTCGTAATGGGGCACGGAAGGTAATTGAGCTTCGTGGAGTCGGCAAGCAAGCTTAGCGATGACGTTGAGAAATCAGGCAGGAGAAAACAATCATGATCATCCTCGAGACATAGAACTGGGTAAATCCAAAGAAGGTCACTGCATATATGCTAGATAAATACGGCGCAAATCCAACAAGATGTTGGGGTTCGAAGGGGTCGCGACAGGCGGCAAGTCACTTGCATGGGGGACAGCTATACCTAAGGTGTCGTTGGCTCACGGGTTCTCCACATTAAAGTGCATTAAATCCCGTCCGGTCAGCCACATTCCGCTACGAACTGCATTCTTCTCTGAATTCTACGCATTACAGTACAAGACTAACGAGGCACATGGTTCTACTTAAATGGGTCCTATTGGATTGCTAGAATAGAAACACGTCTATACGATTTCTATTAGACTATAAGGGTTCTATTAACAATTTTAGTTTACTGTCCGCCGTTGTTTCGGCTCGCTAGCTCATTTAGAGATGGGCTGTGTTTCTCGCTGGAGCCAGCTGCGAGTGTATTCATCGTTCTCGAAGAAGTGGTGAGTCTTCTCCCAGATCTCTGCATGATAGTCATTCACCCATTTGAGCTCCGAATCACTGAGAAGAGATGGTTCGATCAGATTGCGACCAATAGGGGCCATGGTGACATGCTCGAAGCCTAGCCACGGTTTATCGCCAAACTTGTGCGTGGTTTGCACCTCACGCGCCATGATAACATCTGTTACGGCTGGTCAGTATTGGGTTTGGATGAAAATCCGCGTCGCTTGAAGGCTTACTCTCTATCCGAATACCAAACTTGCCATCCTCGTAGAAACCAGGCTCTGTTGTAGTTAGTAGATAGGTCCTTATAGAGCAGGGATAAAGTAGCATACCATCAGAAATCACGTTTCCAGGTGCTATAGGGACCTCGGTGTACTGAACACGGGTACCGACACCCATTGGTCCCTCGTGTACATTCTACAGCTTTATAAGTATTCTATATCAAACTCGCAAAAGCTGGCTTGCTTACTAAGTAGGAGCCGATTCCGTGCCCAGTGCCATGTAAGTAGTCGAGTCCCTCCTTCCAGAGGTATTGTCTGGCGAGCACATCAAGTGCAAACCCACTCGTACCCTTCGGGAACACAGCAGTATCAAGACCTATCACGCCCTTGAGAACCAATGTGAAGGCCTTCTTCTCGAGCTCGGTAGGTTGTCCGAAATGGAACGTTCTGGTAACATCTGTGGTCCCATCTAGGTATTGAGCACCAGAATCGCACAGATAAATGGCATTTGGATCAATGATAGAGCAACTTCCCTTTTCCGGTTTATAGTGGATAACCGCGCCGTTAGGGCCTGTAGAAGAGATAGTGTCAAACGACAGACCGGCAAAGAGTTCATGTTTAGATCTGATTTGTTCTAGTTTGTCTGCGGCGTCCACCTCGTCAAGAGTCGATTTCTTGTTGACTAATTCGTTCTCGAGCCAGGCGAAGTATTCCGTCAGCGCGGCACCGTCGCGGATGTGGCATGCCCGCATGCCCGCAAGCTCCACATCATTCTTCACTGCTTTGGCATCGCCAATGGGGCTACGGACTTCTTCGACCTGTCCCTCGCCTCCAAGGCTAAGGCTAAGTGCCCACGAAGCTTTATTGGACAACAAAAACTTAGAAGCCGTTTCTCCCGCTTCTTGCTTTCTTGCCTCACTGAGGGCCTTCGCGTCGGCATAGATAGCATCATAAGGCTTGATCACAACGTCTTGACCCAGATGAGCTGTCACCTCCGGCGTCAGCTTATCAGCATCAACATAAAGCTCCGTAGTTGTAGGCGTGATGGTGGCAAAAGAGAAGAACACCGGATTATAAGGGATGCTGAGATTTAGTTGTAAGTAAATTGGTATCCAGAGAGTGGGTCTATCCATAAACTCACTCGCTGCCTCTTAAGTTGAACAGCCAAGCAATTTCATCGAGCATTGCTGTTATCACTTGTTAGCCACCAAAAATTTCGGTGTAAGTAGCTAGGTAGCAGTACAAACGATGAAACCGGCCGATTTTCTCGACTCCAGCTCTTTGCGGAGTTCGCTGATCTTTTCCTGGAAGCTCTTCCCAGCGTATTTTTCCGGATGAACTCTTACTTTCTCCCTCGGGGGAGCAGGCCGGTCCTTGCCCCAAACCAGATCAACCAAGTTCTGCTGAACACCCACCAGCGTCGAGCCATTTTTCTTGAGGGTTTCCGAGAGGCTACGGGCACCAGCTGTGAAACCTTAGCTTCTCGAATCAAGAGCTAGCAAGCACAAGGTCAATCACTCACACGCTGTGATCAAAGCTGGGTCGACACCAACGACCTTGCCGCCTTCAGCTTGTTCGGTAGTCCTAATCACATACTAAGTCCAACAATCCTGAACAAGTCATATATGCACGATATATCATACCATTCCTGCCAGGTCGGAAAGCCTTCGACACCACGCTTTAGGAGCTGCCAGTTGTTATCAAGCTGTTTGGAAGCCTGGTTGAAATACCGCCCATCAGTGGACAGAGCGGCTTTGCTCAGAGAAACAATGGCTGTTCCAGCGGACCCGGAGAAACCAGAGATAAATTCTGTGGCAGGTGTGAGCTATACAGGCGACCGATGGTAGTGGATTGGGAAGTTCGTGTCGGAAAAGATGAAAGGCAGGGTTCATGGACGCAAATCTAACCTCGGCGGCCATCACATGGAGCAATATACTCCGACTGATGACTATCTTCGGATGGGACAACTTTTAGAAGAGTGAGTATTGAAGTATGTCAATTAAAAGTCGTGGAATGATGTCATACTGTATACATCCACCTTGTGTTCCTGCATCAACTCTCTGAGTCTCGAGAGACGTTCGGAGGTGTTCACGGTCTCCATATCGACTGAATAGCGAGGCACAGAGATGGAAAAGAACCTTGAGTGAGAGAGGGGTAACTGGCGAGCCGATCGAAACGCTGATATCCACGGAGAGAGAATTGGAGGGCGAGAAAAAAGCATCGACGAGCGAGGTCTGAAGTGGATGCAAGTGATCCGAAATCGCAGATGACAAATACAAGCCCTCGAAATGTTGCACGAGGCTGCGAGGGTTGTGAAAGGACAAGGCGGGGTTAAGGAGATGGAGGGTTAGGTACAATTGTAGTGGTTAAGAGAAGGTCGTGTGTGCAATGTTCGAGTGGCAGCCGTGGAGATATGGATGGACCAACAAGATGATTAGCTTGGGTTTAGGAGCTGTAGCTGCAGTACTCCGTAGACCACCATTACATTACCTACACCAAAAAAATTCCGACAATTACCGTCATTTACCGCTCGTTTTTATTACAGAGCACATTACTCCGTACAATACAGTTCCGTGACCTCATACCGTCATCCTCGGAAAGAACACCTGGATACAGACGCTATTTTTCTCACTTGCAGCTGAAAAGATAGTAAGTCTCCGACTACCTCTTTGGCTGACCATTCCTCGCTAAATTGCCTCCTGCAATCAAGGAGTTCTCGTTATTGAATAGACCGGAAATGACAAGCTTATCCGATGGCTCCATGACAACGCGACCAGAACGCCATATAGACCCTCCAATAACCCTTGTCACATGGTACATACATACCGACTAATGTCTTCCTTCGGATGTCCTCTTCCCCTCTCATATTCTGGTCAAACACTGTCTTAACTCCCCCTCCATCCCACTTCTTCACCGCCTTACATTTACGCGGTAGTGTTATCAGCACGTGACGCCCCTTTACAGCTACACTATTTGGGACAATCTATACCCGTTGCTTATCCACTACAGCAAGCTTCAAGCGCTTCGGCCATGTCTGTGGACGTCCCGGGCCAAAGCTCTGATGTACAAGTCCTCATTAATGAGGCGCGGACAGTATGCTTGCCCATGGTTCCCATGTCCTGCTCAATTTCTAACAATGCCTAGCTGGTGTCTCAGCTTTATGATCCAGCAAATACCGGCAACCCCGCCAAGATCAAAGCTATCCAGGAGCACCTGCAGATTCTCCAGAAAGGGCCCCAGGCATGGCTCATTGCTAATAATCTCCTCAGTGATGAAAGTACTGACCTGAGATTCTTCGGGGCCCTAACATTTACAGTCAAGATTAACCAGGATTGGTACGTGAACTGGTATACCCTTGTCGCGATAGAATATCCTGACTTACTCATGTCGGCTGCAGGCAACAATTAAATGACGACGAGGCCCTAGAACTCCTCGGACGACTGATTGATTACTATGTTCTCTTAGTAAATGGGGGAGAGCGCCCTCTGGTGGTACGCAAGTTGGCTTCCAGTCTAGCAACCATCTTCCTAAAGCCGAATGCTCCCTGGAATCATGCTCTTTGGAACTTGGCGGCTTCTTTGGCGAATGGAAAGCATCTTTCAGAGGAGCAGTGTCAGTCTTTTGACCTGCGAGATGCTGTTCTTCCTGCTATGTCCGAAAGGCAAGTGGTCAGCTTATTATATTTTTCTAACATACTGGCGGAGGAAATCAATAGATGGAGTCCGGAGTCACGGCGAAATGGGGACAGTAACCGGGCATCTGAAAATATCAAACATGCTTTTCTTCTAGTCGAGTTCGTCCTCCGTCATATGCTGCAGCAAGAATCTTCCGGTCACTCTATATCTGATGGCGCTCCAGGCATCGAGGCCATCAACTCCTACCAAGTAAGCATGTCCACACCTATCCAACGAAACTCTTCTAACGTCAGGGCTTCAGTCATGGGCCTTAGTCCGTAATGCACTCCAGCTCCGCGACACGATACGCGCCACTCAGCTTGCTCCTGCCACCGGCTACGTGATCCAAAGTTTGAAAGTCCCCAGTTTATCTAAGACTGCAATGCAGGTCCTGGTTGAATTGATAGATTGGCGAGACAGTATATTTAGCCAGGAACATGTCTCCTCTATATTGGAATATATCATCAGTGATCTTGGCACGGCCCATATCGCTTCCATCATGGATGCCGATTTTGAAGATGAGAATATGACATTCTTGGAACTTCTATTAGCGTACGCAACACTCAAGCAAAGGGAGCTTTTGATTCAACCCTTGAATCCTGATCATGAGAAAATTCTAGCCCTTCTCCACACACTCTTCAAAGCCCCTGGATATGCAGCAGTGGACGATTCAGCATCGCCGTTGGTCCTTGAGTGGTGGACTGAAGTCGCAGATGATCTCCAAGAGATATACTTGGATACAGAAGAAGAAGAAGGGCTTGATCCCGCTAAACGCAATCTTGCTCGTGCAGCTATGGACTGCTTTGAGAAACTCAAGTATCCGAGCCCAGAAGAGCTACAAGAGTGGGGCGATGATGATCGCAGTGAGTTTGGCGCTTTTCGCCGCGACGTCTGCGACTTCCTCCTAGCAATCTATCCTATGTTAGGTGTGGAGCTAGTTCAAGTGTTCCAGGAACGAGCAAAAGCATCTCTAGTGCAGCAGGACTGGAGAACATTCGAGGCCGCAATATTCTGCATGGCTCAACTTTCGGAGGCTGTCGACGAGAATCAGCATGCAGACGAATGTTTAAACGCAATATTCTTCTGTGATGAATTTGCTCAGTTATGTACAGGAGATGTTGCAATGGTTCCCGACAAACCTCGGCAGACACTCGTGGACATGCTTGGGAAATATCAATCATACTTTGAACGCACACATGCCTTACTTCCTCGCGTACTGACGTTCCTTTTCGCATCACTGGACGTTGCATCATGTGCTTCTGTAGCATCCAAATCTATATCGCATCTTTGCAAATCATGCCGCAATGCTCTAACATTCGAGCTTCCAGCGTTCATGGACCAGTTTGAGCGATTTCGCTTCAAGCCTACAGCCACTGCTTCCACTATGGAGAAAGTTCTAGAGGGAATCGCTGCTATCGTACAGACTTTGCCTACTGATAACGAGAAAGCACAGTTCCTTGAGCGAATACTGAAATTCTTCCAGGAGCAGGCAGAGCTGGCACGAGATGAAGCCTCTCGCGGGTTGGTGGAGCCTGCTCGCTGCCGCGGTCAGTTAGTTCTCCGTTGCGTTGCGAGTATTGGAAAAGGGCTCCGAACAGATGGTGAAATTGTTTTAGACACTGTTGACGGTGGAAATGGGGACCCATATCCACCAACTTTTTGGAATACGGGTAATGGGGCTGTATCGCAGAACCTAATAATGCAATGCATGCAGCTTCTAATGACCGACTTTCCCCTAGACGTGACGATCATCGAAGCAGCATGCGACATACTGAAGGCTGGTTTTACCGAGAACAGTGGCCCCTATGTGTTTCCACCGATGGTGACAGTCAATTTTGTGAAAAGTATACCTTTAGGAAGCGCTGGCACCGATATGGTTATGGGTACGGCCTCGGCGTTCTTAGCCTCTCACAGTGCACATCCACAACGTATCCGTGAAGAGACGGTTGCCCTGGTTGTCCATGTATATGAGACATTTTGCTGGATGCATGAGAAGCCAGAGTTCTACGACCCTGAGGTTGCGAACAGCGGCATCGACTTTCTCACTCGTCTGCTCCCCAAGTATCACCCCTTTCTTTTTACTCTTACCGCCGTACACCAGGAGTCCAACCAGCCCGGCACTGCTCATGTTGGTGGTGCCCCTCAGCGTCCCCCAATACTCCAAGCGATTCTAAACTTTACACTCCTTTCCTTGCAAGGCCCGGAGCCACTTCCCCTTCGCTCTGCCTCCCAATTCTGGGTAGGCGTGCTGAATCTTCCTTATGAGGAAGAAGCTGTACAAAGAGCGCTCAGAGACAGTATTCCCGCTCTTTGCCGCATACTGGCATCTCAGGTCGCCGGACGATGTGCCCGTTCCGACCTTGAACATCTCTGTGAGGTGCTTAGAAGGCTCATTTTCAAACAGCAAGGACTAGCTCGCCCGCATCTCGCTGCTACACTAGCCGGTTCAGGTGATGGTCAAACGAATCAGAACCAGAGCCCTGCCGTGTCACTCGAGGAGAGACAGCGTTTTCTTGCGTCGCTGTTAGCTGCCAGGGGCGCAAAAGCCCAGACGAGCCAATTGACACGTTCCTTCTGGGTGAAATGCCGTGGATCTGGTTTCGATTATATTGGGTAGATGCCAGGGGTGACAGTTGTCGCAACGTGGACAATGCAACAAATACGAAGAATTGGGTTTGGATTTGCCAAGTAAAAATAATTATCAAGTCCAAAGTGAGGCTCGAAAAACTGATGTAGACGCACAACAGGGCTATGTCAGCAACAGATGTGTGAGTGCCCCATAGGGCAGTGGCTCAGGCACAATTCATCATGTTCGTGCCTGTCTTGTCATAATGGTGCCTATTAAGCCAGGCAACGCATTGTTCCAGCGCTTACAATAACACGCCACCAGACAAAGAACCACTTGTTCTTCTTTGTAATGTGGGTCATCATGCACGATCTCTAGCCACTGGGGCGGTGTACAGATCAGCATCAGCTTTGACCAATCTGGAAGCTCGATGCTCCTAGATTTGATGTTCCGCTCGCCTCGCTTCCCTCCAGAGTCTAAAGATGGGTCTTTTGCTTCCGATAAGGCCCACCATATGGCTGAGCTGAACGCGCTGCCCTTTATATAGTTCTGTTTAGTTGGCCCCCCCGCAATCTTGAAACCCCCCTAAACTCTCCACCGCAAAAACTCTTTGTGTCTTAACTACTTTTCTCCTTTTTCACATCTCAATTACATTTTTACGGGTCTCGGTTTTGGAACAGACATAATGCCTCTTTTCGCGAATTCCCCCGAGGCTCTTGCTAATGTAACCCGCACTGATTCGCTTGATCCCGCCACAACATGTAAAGGTGTCACAGGAGGTGGCCGACCATGTCGCCGTGCATTGGCAGATACAGATGAGATGTATTGCTGGCAACACAAGGATCAAGCAGTGCCAGTATCGAACGGGGCAGTTAACAAGCCGAATACCTCACAGCCTAGATCAAGTATTGATACATTGATGGAGCGACTCAATATCAAGGACTCACAGGACAACTCCAACCAGTACAACTCCAACCAGTATCGGCCATTCAAGACAAAGAAGAAAACCAAGCGGACAATCTGCTGTTGCTTTGAAATTATCGAAGAGGATGAACCACTTCCTCCACGGCCAGTGCGTCCGTCTTCACAGAATAGACCCCAATCGATGCAACAAGTGCCATACAGTGCTTCTCAAAGACCGCAAAACGGAGGATGGGTCCCTTCAACACTCTCACCTCAAGCCAGCTCCGCCCTTACCGAAGAGCTTGCCAAACCACTCTCGGAAAAAGATGAGCCCGGCTATATTTACATCTTCTGGATCACGCCTGCCGACCACTCTTCTAGATCGATGCCGCCGCCTGCAGACGTCGGCTCATCCTTATTTTCTAAGCACGATGATCGCGGAAATAATGCCATCCAAAAAGCCAGAGATTTCAATGCTTTGACCTCGAAGCCCACTGAATTTAGTCCTGGTGCGATTCGCCTTAAGATAGGCCGGGCGAACAACGTCCAGCGTCGAATGAACGAATGGACCAAGCAATGTGGTCACCACATCACCCTGATTCGGTACTACCCATACACACCTTCATCGCCCGGCCCAAGCAACGGACCTGCCCTCGAAGTGGGAAGGAAAGTCCCGTATGTCCACCGCGTGGAACGACTGGTTCACCTCGAACTAGACGATTATCGAGTCCGGGACATGGGCAAGTGCTCGGAATGTGGGAGGGAGCACCAGGAATGGTTCGAAATCAAGGCCCAAAAAGAAGCCATCAGGGGAGTGGACGAATGTATTCGCAAATGGGTGAGATGGGCAGAAAGCCAGTAACCGCATGATCAAATTACATAGAATGTGTGACATAGATCCATAACAGAACAAACTCCAGATCAAGCCAGAGTAATTTAGAAATTCAATGCAGCCTCAATTTACATCCCCGGGGGAAAGAAAGTAACCACTCCATAGCATTAAAATAAATCATGGTCCCATAAATAGAATTATATAGAAAATAGCTGACCACCAGCCCAATCCCAGTCCCTAACCAATCGCCAAATCCCAACCAAGCCAAGAATAGATTGATCAATAATTAAATGTAAAAAAGAAAGAAAGAAAGAAAGAAAGAAAGACAGAAAGAAAAATACCTCAATCCCTCTCCCCCTCCTCCCCATCAAGATCCTCGTTCAAACTTCCCCCTCTCTCTCCATCAACAACAACTCCCAAAACCCACCTCCCTACCACAAAAACAACCCACCCCCACCCCCAAACACAGAACCCCAAAATACTCGTCCCAATCACCACCGGTGCGAGCACCAAAACCGCGACACAGGAATACAGCGCCACAGCCAGCGACGCCATAATCACCGCCCCGGCGACAAACAACCCGATCGGCACGCACGAGCAAACAAACTGCGCCACGAGCAAGGTCGCGATAACCGGATGCGCGTGCAGGAAGTCCAAAGCGGTGGAGACGGAGGAGCTTGCACGGAGACTGGCGCGGAAGAGGGAGGTGGTTAGGTATGTTTTCATATTTTCGATGATGAGGGTGTTTGGTTGGGGGGTGTCGTATGCGTTGTGATCTTGATCTTGATCTTGGTCTTGGGTTTGGGAGAGCGGGGGTTCTTGTTCTTGGCCTTGGTCTTGACCGTGGTCTTGTTCTTCGGGGGGTGGGGTGAGGAGGATTTGGGTTGTGGTTGTTTCCGAGACGTTGTCAGGTTTGAATTGGGGGAGGGTGAGGGAGTGTTCAGTCATTGTTTTTGGGGTTGGCACGTTTGTGTGTTTGGTTTATGGTGTTGGGGATGGTGTTGATGGTTACCAAGGTTGTTGTGAGGTAGACTGTGTAGGTAGTAAGTTAAGTCCGCGGGTATTAAAGAGGGAGGATTTGGTCTTGTTTGGGCGTCATTCTGATTGAGTGTCGAAGCTGAGATAAAATGACGGAGGATAATCTCTACCGAGGCTTTTCGAGCCGTGAAATGGTATTACGCCATGTCATGGCTCTGTTGATGGTGTTTGGAGACCGTGGGGAGTATTACCGATACGTCCTGGTTACCTCCGGTTTGGGGAGCGTTGGGGAAGATCATCTCCATGGATGAGGACCGAAGTATTTAACCTTTGTTACTTTGGTTGCCCCTTTCACGTGTGCGTCACTGTTTGGTGGAACTGATTAATAGCCTTCTTGGCCTTTTCTGGACTTTCGTCTAGGACATGTGACCTGAATTAGAAATGTTATCGAAGGACCTGCCTGATGTGGTAATCTGGATGATAGTCCATATACGGAGCACTGTTTTGATTTTGTAGTTTGCAAATTAATCTATACAGTTGACTTTTCCTTTGTTAGGAAGGTGATCTGTCGGGTAGATCGAGATCTGCTTACTGTCGCTAGTTTAGTATCTACTCTTACCTAGTACCTACAGTAGTAAGGCTTCTAGAAAAAATCCCGGCAGCTTTGATTGGCAGGTTCCTGATGGACTGAAGCGCCTCGTCGGAACTAAAAGTGAGCCTCATAATCCAGTCCATCTTACCATACTACAGTTGACCATTACAGGCAGTTGCTTTTATGCTACGCAGGATCTGTTGCCATGATATCTAATGTTGCAGCATCATGTACACTTGAAACAATTATTATAGTGTTTTGGTTATCGCCGTCGTCCTATCAACAAACATCTGAAAGAGACCATGTGACAATGCTTTCATATGCTCATAGCTCGTAATCGACAATGTACAGTACATCTTCCCTCCTTCATGTCCGGACGGGTGAAAACAACAGGGGAAGAACACAGTCTTAAGAAGACATTATATCGACTTTTTCTAACGCCCGCAAATGAACGAAACAGCAAATGGGGTATATCTACCAGCCCCTCTTAGCCAATTTGTCGCTCTCAGCCATCTGAGACACATTGATTCCAACCATGGCCTCACCCAGACCCTCGCTGACCTCAGCGAGAACCTTGGGATCCTTGTAGTGAGTCACAGCCTGGACAATAGCCTTGGCGCGCTTCTTCGCATCGCCAGACTTGAAGATACCGGAACCGACGAACACACCATCGCAGCCCAGCTGCATCATGAGTGCGGCATCAGCGGGGGTGGCAACACCACCGGCAGCAAAGTTGACGACAGGGAGACGGCCCTTCTCGGCAGTCTCGCGCAGGAGCTCGTACGGGACCTCAAGCTCACGAGCGAAGGCGCGGAGCTCAGGCTCGTAGTCAGGAGAGGACTGGAGGATGGCACGGGCACGAGCAATCTGAGCGTTAACAGTGCGCATGTGCTTAACGGCTTCCACGACGTCGCCGGTACCGGCCTCACCCTTAGTGCGGATCATAGCAGCACCTTCGGAGATACGGCGGAGAGCCTCGCCGAGGTTGCGGCAACCACAGACGAATGGAGCCTTGAAGTTGTGCTTGGTAACGTGGTAGATGTCGTCGGCGGGGGTGAGGACTTCGGATTCATCAATGTAGTCGATGCCAATGGCTTCGAGGATCTAACGTAAGCATTGTCAGTTTCCGGTGGCGTACGCAGAGTGGCAAGTAAGCTCCTACCTGGCATTCAACGAAGTGTCCAATGCGGGCCTTGGCCATAACAGGGATGGTAACGGCCTCCATGATCTCCTTGATCATGCTGGGGTCAGACATGCGGGCTACGCCACCCTGGGCTCTAATATCGGCGGGGACACGCTCGAGGGCCATAACGGCGGCAGCACCGGCCTCTTCGGCAATGCGAGCCTATACGAATGTCTTATTAGATTCATCCATCGAGCAGAGAGTCATTGTCAAAGTGTATACCTGCTCCGCATTGACCACGTCCATGATCACACCACCCTTCAACATCTGGGCCAGACCGGCCTTGACGGTGAAGTCGTTAGAGGCAGAAGCCCCGTTGGTTCCGTTCTGCTGAGAAGCCATTGTGAGAGAAAGTTGTCCGAATTGAACAAGTTAGGACACAGAGAGAGAGAGAGAGAAAGAGGCGGAAGGATAGTCTTAAGAACAAGGGAGGAAAGAAGGAAGCCGAGCCGGGATATTTAAGTGAAAGAATGGTGACTCAAGCACGGCGAAGGCAATCGCCGCCGAGAAGACAACCACTGTCAACATAGGGCGTGTCCATGGAACCCACCCTAGTCCCATTCCCCTTGTTCACCCCGCCGACTTTTCCCTCAGACTGCCTGTCCGCGGAGAGACGGTCCAATCAGAAGGCCGCTGCCCCTCCATCCCTCTGTGGTAAAGTTTAGCAAACTTTCGGCCGGAAACTTTGCAATACTGGCGCAACCCCGCCGCTCACCGGTTTCCCGCGGGCATACCTGGCTGTCCGAGTGTCCCTGTAAGTAATTGTACAATTCTGGAGTATTGTTCATCGTCCGGTGGTACCAAAGATGGGAATTCGTTTTCTTACCATACTTGAGGCGGTTTTCATTGGTGGGAGCACCCACCGCCCAGCCGTTTTACGAACCTAGCAAAATTTTGTGAAATGGAACCCTTCCGAATCTAGAACTACACATCTTGGTAACCTAATGAACGTTCCAAGTTTTTTGAATTAGCCAGCCTCATAGTTACAGATAGCAATAAATTCACTCAAAAGAACTTAGTGGTTGAATTTATTACGAGCAAGAACTAAAGTGTACATACAATGTCTAGGTATGTACTCCGTATGTCCAAAATTTTGTATGCCTATTTACTGTGCTCAGGCTACTCGTTAGTACTACCAAATAAGGGCAGACACACGCTACTACTACTAGTACTGCACCCGGCCCGTGTTGTCCTTACCTGCCAGTTAGAGTAAAATTACATTTTCATGGGTGCTGCCAGTACGACCTTTTACTTAATCGTTTACTGACTAACAAACGGAAACTTCCGAGGTGGCGGAACGGCGGAACTGCTGTCATTTGTATCATTTGTATCATGTCCTCCAAGCATCGACCTCTGTAGTCCGTATACAGCTGGAGGAGAAGGGTATACCTCTCGTCCCTTGAATAGGAGCTAATTTAGGCCATCACATACTGTTTCAACACTCCAAATCCCTGCACTTACTGTAAAGTTAACGGGTAACCAACGGATCTTCGTAGCCAATCTCAGGGCTAGCACGTACACACTATGCTTGGATATCGGACCAGATATGCGGACTACCTGTCTCCACTCTATATATAAGCTTAATACTGTGACACGCATTAGGTTAAAAACCGCCTGTCAGATACCTTGCTTCTTGTAGTGGTTCGTCTTTGATTTTCTGTTCCTTCCAGTTGTTAAATTCGAGCTTTTGCCAATAGAGGCGTTACTCTAGGTACATTGGTCGTTCTACCACTCTAGGAAATAGTTGCGAAGGGTTCCGGGTGGCTATTGTAGATCGAGTGGCCACAAATAAGTGTGTCTTATCACCTTGATTGCTTTCTAGTCGGCGCATAGTATAATTAGTGTCATCCCTGTTACGGCATTTGATCTCTAAGTATCGATAAGGCAGAGATCTAAGCCTCCATGCGTAATGAAGTATGGAACCACTCAGAATACTTGTCTATAAGCACTGTAGCTGTATCTTCCACTGCTCAAATTGTTATAGTTTCTATATGGGGGGATGCCAGGTATAACGTGTTGTGTCTCGCTGTCGTTAAGAGCAACCACAAACTCAGTAAACTCTATTTCTCAGCTGTAAAGCATTTTATGTTCCACGATTATCAAGTCATTGAAATTATATATTACCTCCTCTGTCCATCTCGATAGTGGAGTGTATAATTATCCCGTGCACTCTCACAAATGCACACCCTAGTATTATGTGTAGCCCTGGCTGAAAGATCTCTTATAAGTGTCCAACTGATTCACGAACACATTGTATAACCTTCCAAAACAACTTATATTATCATCGTAAGATCTACATGAATCCCTAACCCTAATCGCCCTTCTTATACAGTCATTTCACTGTATATTTGATTAAGATTGACAGATTGGCCTCCGGGTGACGTCACCCCACCTCCGCATAAGGATCGTCCACCCATCTCCAACATCGTCTTCAATTAGCTGTTACATTCCCACATCCAATCCCTTGAAGAAGCTTCCTTCGACCTTTAAAACGCTCTCTACGTACTACATAACAGCCATCCCCAAGAATAACCAACCAATTGCTCATATCCCCACGACAACCCATCAATTACACCAAACATGTCATTCCTCCTCACCCGCACCTCAGCCGTCCTCGGCGTTGGCCTCGGCCTCGGCCTCTCCCTCAGTCCACTCTCCCCCTTCCGTTCCGCGCCAATGCAATGCCAATACAGCGCCCCCTACTACCGACCCGAATCGCAAGCCTCCCCAGACTCAGGCTGGACCGTTGACCGCAACGACCCCGTGCTCCTCAAACAGGGAGCCTCGAAACCCAATTCTCAAAGCGGGTGGTTGACGGCGTCGAATATGCGACAGGTGAGTCTGGGGAGTGTCCTGGGGCTGGTTGTGGGGGTGGGATTGAGGGCGTTCTCGAGGGTTTTGGTTGTGCTTTTGGGTATGGGAGTTGTTTTTGTCGAGGTAAGTTCTTGGTTTTTGTTTTTTTTTTTTATTGGTCTTGTCTGGTTGGGCTTTTGGCTGATATCTTTGGGGGATGTGTGTGTAGTGGGCTGCTGCGAAGGGGTATAATGTAATTCCTGTGAATCGGTTGCAGAGGCTTGTTAAGGGGGTTAATTTGCAGAAGGCTGTGTCGCAGCATAAGCCGTTTAAGATTAGTTTTGGGGCTACGATGGCGTTGGCGGCGTTCGCGCAGTTTTGATTTACTATGGGACTTGGTAGGGGAAATGATACATGAGGTGATTTATAGTGCTAATTGGAAAAGACTGTAACCTATTTATATACACGTAAGCTACCCGATACCAAAAACCGAGAATTACCTTCATAGATTCAAGTTAGTTACTTTGACAGAGATATATACATTGTTATACAGGGGTATCATGAACATGTATGGCGCCGTCTGAAATGCCGACCATTAACTCAACACCAAGTCTTCTAGAACTCCCTCCATTTCGTCGCGCGGTAAAGGCACGCCCAGAATTTCCATTCCGCTTGGGTCCAGCCTCGATGTGATCATCTGATGGTCGTGGAATTCTTTCAGTAGCGTCCGGAACATCATTTCGGAGGAAGCGATGAACTCTTCAGTGGCTTTCTGGTACAGCGCACGGAATTCAATACCGACTTCGTCCTTTCCATCCCCGTTGCGTCCTGCTCCACCATCCATTTCATCATCCGAGTTATGTCCCTCGTCGAACATTGATATGATCTCAGTCAGAAGCAGTCGATAAAGATTCCGGGCGTTCTCCGGAAGACTCTTCAACACGAACTCGACACCCTCTTTACCTCCGACACGACGTCCTTTGCGACCAAGCAGGTTATGCACCTCTTCTACGACGTCGAACTCGGTGTCGAACGGTGCAAATGTTGTGCAATCATGGAAAACGAAATTGAATTGGTCACGGAGACTGATATCCCACATCAACAAATAGTTTGGTGTATCGGCCGTTACAAGGAGGTGGATTTTGGGCGTAGCAGCGAGTCGTGCAAGAAGGGCTTGGTTCGCAGCTCTGCGAAGAGGTGGTGCATCAATAGAGTTGATTAGAACAGTGATCGGCCTTTGCGATGACCGTGACTTCAGAACAGACTGCAACAATTCCAGCACCTCGATCGGCTGAGAACCCAATTTTGAGGGAATGTCAGCACCAAGCACGGCAGTGACGATTGTAGCGAATATTGACCGAATAGAAATGTTCGGTGTATGTCCATTGACCACCACGATGGATGGAGGAGTAGAACTATTCTTCTGATACAACCACTCCGCGAAATTTTGCAGTAAGGGACGTTTCGAGCCGTATCCGTACAAGCAAATGTTATACCCTTGTTCAAACTCGAAGTTCCATTGTGGGAACGACCGACGGTGTACATCGAGTAAAAATGCCTTCTCTTTCTGACACGGGTCTGTGTACTGTGCCATCTTCTCGAAGTATTCTTCGTGTGTTAACAGGGAGACCTTATTCAGTGTATTGTTTGATGTCCGTGGGGGGCCGGCTCGATTCTGGAAAAAGTATCGTTCATGGGCCGGGAGTTCACCCTCGGGGGTGGGAGAACGCTTGTTCTTCGCACCCTTTGGCCTTCCTGCTCGGCGCTTCGGTGTTTGGGCAGTCTTGTTTGCTTCATCTTCTCCCTCGACCGTCTCGAGTACACCATTCCCATTCTCTGCAGCAGTCGTGTCATTCTCGTCTTGCAAAATTTCCTCCGCCAGGCGATCAGCTCCGTCCCAGTCTTCCTCCTCGTCATCGTTTTGTTCGAGAAGAAGACGTGCGCTTTTCTTCTTCGCAGATCGGTCCGCGTTCCGTGCTCTTGAAGGGGTGGAGACAGCAGCAGACTTTGTAGGGGTTGAAAATAAAGCCTTTGCTTTGGACTTTTGTGTAGGGGTTTTCAGCCCGGACTCTTTTAATGCAGCGGGTGTCGCAGTGCTGGGCTTCTGAGGTGTCGACTTTATCCGTTTCACTGGCGATGCTTTAACGGGTGGCTCTCCATCCTCATATCCATTCGCCGAGCCATTAAACGCTGCAGTCCTCTGTCTCTTGGGCGTCGAGACAGGACGCTCGTCGCCCGAATCTGTCTGCTTGCGCTTCATGTCAGTATGTCCCAAGCACAAACACAATTGGTAGCGGGAAAGCGAATACCATCCGGACGCGACTGGTAAGCCAGAATAAAAGCAGCGCGAGATGCAAGGACCTAACAAAGGAGCGCTATTAGGAATGCTAACCTCTTGTCCTTTATATCCCTCGTGGCTTTTTCTCGGCGCGCCTGGAACGCGGTTTATTGATGGAGATTAAAGCTCAGGACCGACTATTTATCCGACTCCGCGGTATCGGAGCTGGAAGCTGATGGGATCTCCATCGGCCGATGTGGATTTCGCGTACTTCTAACCTTCACCTCTGAGTTGGGAATTTCTATCTCAATTCTGATCCGAGGACTCGCTGTTGGGCTTTGGCTGTGGTGTATTCGTCCACTAGCCTGAAAGCGGACGGCAATTGAGTCATTTAATCATCGATTTGTTTTTGAGTCATTTTCCGCCCTATCAACTATATAATCTCCCCGCAAACCATCCCCGGTTCCTTGGGCCTCTATCGCAACACGATACTGTGCGTACTGTGCTTGCCACACACACATCCCCCAGAAATGCCTATATACTGACTGCTGTTCACCCTGTACAGGCTCAATGGCCTCTCCCGCTCAACCCGCAGCCACAATGGCTGCTTTCGCCAGAATGGTGAAGGGCCAGGTGCGCAATTATTCCGCACCCGTGGACATGGCTATTCCTGCCTCCAAGCGGAAGTTCATTCCCTCGTCCGGATCGTACCCTAAAGGCTTCGTCGTCTCTGGTACACACGTTGGAGTCAAGGCGTCGAACACCAGGTTCCCCGATCTCGCTTTGATCTCGTCCGAAACCCCATGCTCGGCCGCAGCTGTGTTCACTACCAACAAGTTCCAGGCTGCGCCGGTGCAAGTGAGCAAGGATATCATCAAAACCCGCCAGGGTCAAGGCATCCGGTCCGTCGTGATCAACTCAGGCTGCGCCAATGCCGTCACCGGCAAAGGAGGTCTGGAAGATGCAGTGAGCATGGGTAAGAAGGTAGACGAATGCGATGGACTCAACGAACCTAGCACTCTCGTCATGAGCACTGGTGTCATCGGTCAACGGTATGCAATACCCTCATGTCCGTCCACCACTCTAACCAAAACCAATACTAACAAAACATACCGTAGCCTCCCAATCTCGAAGATCCTCATGAAGGTCCCAGTGGCCCACGCCAACCTCTCCTCTACGCACGACGCCTGGCTGACCACGGCCCGCGCAATCTGCACAACGGATACCTTCCCCAAGCTTCTCTCCCGCACATTCACGCTCCCCTCCTCCCCAGGTCGCACCTACAGCCTCGCCGGCATGACCAAGGGAGCCGGTATGATCCACCCGAATATGGCCACTCTCCTTGGCGTTCTGTGCACCGATGCACCAGTCGAACCCTCCGCCCTCCAGTCCCTTCTCAAGCACTCCGTCAACCGCTCGTTCAACTCCATCTCCGTCGACGGCGACACCAGCACGAATGACACGATCGCCATCCTCGCCAACGGTGCCGCAGGCGGATCACCCATCAGCTCCGCCTCGTCCGACGACTACGCCGCAATGCAAGAGGTTCTCACTTCGTTCGCGCAGTCGCTGTCTCAGCTCGTCGTGCGCGACGGCGAAGGAGCCACTAAGTTTGTTACTGTCCGTATCCAGAACTCCCCCGACTATGAATCCGGTCGGTTGATTGCGTCGACTATTGCCCGCTCTCCGCTCGTCAAGACGGCCTTGTATGGTAAGGATGCTAACTGGGGTCGTATTCTTTGCGCTATTGGTTATACCCAAGGTGTGGCGCCGGGAACTGTCGTTCCTGAGCGCACGAGCGTCAGCTTCAAGCCTGTTGATGGTAGCCCTGTGTTGAACTTGCTGGTGAACGGTGAGCCTGAACAGGTCGATGAAGAGCGTGCTAGTGTTATTCTCCAGGAGGAAGATCTGGAGATTGTTGTTGACCTTGGCGGTGGTGAGAAGGGTGAGCAGGGTCTTGGTGGTGAGGAGGCTGTTTACTGGTTTTGTGATTTCAGCCACGAATATGTCACTATTAATGGTGACTACAGAACTTAAGCTGGAGGATGCAGTGCCGTGGTGTATTTTATACCCATTTGAGTTGTATTGACATTCATTTGCGATGCGGGTTCTAATACTATATAGTACGCGCGCACCTACAATGTCTGTTTTATCTTTTGTCATAGCAAATTAGATATCATTTTTAGATCTTTTATAGAATATATGGTTACAAACCAGGTTCGTGCTATGTACAGCTGCAGCCTCGCTTTTCCGATGGAAAGATTCATTACCTTCCAAGCAAAACTAGACATACACCCAAAATCCAGATGGCCACAGCGGTAACGCATCACCTGGAAATGAACGAGAAATACAAAAAGCATATCAAAGCTACAAACCTTCTTTCTCATGCTGTTCATCAAAAAAAGTCTGAAAGCTCCTGTTTAGTTACCAGGAACAAGGCCCTTGAGGCCCGAACCAATATCACCTTCGCGAGCGGCGATTTCGAAGTATCCGTAGATGATGCTGGGTCATTGTTAGCAGAAAGTAGAAGATAATACGGTAGGGGACAAGACTTACGTCACGGCAAGGAGGATACCAGTACCGCTGCCAAGAGCGCCGAGGAGGTCGGAGGCAACGGAAAGAGCACCAATGCAAGCACCACCGAAGGCAGCGGCAGTAGGAATAACCCTCTTGAGCTCCTTGTACATGCTCTGCTCACGGTGGCCAGCCATGACAAGGCCCTGGTCCTTGAGCTGCTTGGCAACGTCACGAGGGGCGGAGCCGGAGACTTCAATCCAGGTCTTGGAGAAGAGAGCGCAAGCAACCAGCATGAAGGTAATGTAAACAGCAGTGTGGATAGGGTCAAGAAGAGCCTCCTTGAAGTTGAGAGGAGGGGACATGTAGTAAGCGATACCAGAGGAAGCGTAAAGCTGGGCGGAACCCTCACGAGGCTCCCAGACTCCGAGAAGCTTGACCAGAAGGTTGTCCGAGAAGCGCGAGTACAGCATCTGACTGATGAGGAAGATGTTGGAGCACAGGGCGGACTGGAGCATAATAGGCATGTTAGAGGTGTAGAAGAGACGGACGGGGTAGGATCCACGCATTCCACGCTGGCGAGAGGACTTGACGGGGATCTCCACACGGAAACCCTGGAGGTAGATGACGGCGGCGAAAACGAGGAGAGTAGCCAGCAGGTTCATGACATTAGGGAGGTTCTGACGATAGAAAGCCTCGCGCAAAGCACGCTGCTTGTCGGACCAGGTCAACAGAAGATGGAACAGAGCGATGATAGCACCCTCGAACTCGGGACCACGGCCAGTGTTGATGGTAGTGGGAGAGAAAGCCTTCCAGACGATAGACTCGCAAATGTTGGTGGCAATGAACAGAGAGATACCGCTTCCAAGACCGTATCCCTTCTGGAGCAACTCATCCAGAAGGATGACAACAAGACCAGCAACAACAAGCTGAACAATCAGCAGGACACAGATACCGGCACCCAGATCGCTTGGCTGCCCATAGAGGCCAGTCAAGACATAGACACAAGCCTGACCGAAGGAAAGGATGATTGCGAAAAGCTTCTGGGCGGTCTGGTACAGTTCACGGTCGGTCTTGAGGTCAAGGTTGACATCGATGAGGTGGGTACCAGCGAGGAGCTATTCAAGACAAAAGTCAATTAGCAGCGCTTCATAGCAAGCATATAAGTTTGGAGGAAATCGTCCGGACTCACCTGGAAAACCATGCCGGAGGAGATGATGGGAGTGATACCCAATTCCATCAGGGTACCACGGTTACTGGCCAACATCATACGCAGCCAGTACAGGGGATCGGAGGTGTCAGAGGAGACAATACCATAAAGAGGCATCTGGCTCATGACCAAGAAGATCAGGAGTGTCAACTGCAGCCAATCTGTTAGCCTTAAAAGCTCTGTTGCGCTCTAGCACATCAACGTACCCCAGTCCACATCAACTTCTGGTTGAAGGGCACCTTGGTCTCCGGGGCTGCCACCTCCGGGAGGAGGGGCGTAAAGGGTTTAATTAGATCAAGGAAGCGAACTAATTGCCTATATCAGCATTTGTTGACCCATTGAGAAGGAGGATAAAGCGCAGTCGCAGGAATTGGTTGCGATCGCGTGCAGGGCACTCACGTCCACTCATTGTGACTTTCCAGCTTCCAAATACTTAAAGAGTAAGGGGGAAGAGAAAAGAAAATGAAGCTGGTGGAAGGACCAGCTGAAAGAGCGGAAGGGAAATCAAAGGATAAAAAGAAGAAGAATAAGAAGAAGAGAAGAAGAGAAGGTAGTCGAAGTAATAAGATGGGGAAGGGAAAGGGAGCGATGAGGTTGAGTTCGGGTGCGAAGCAATAGTCGCCTCGCTGGCCACTTTCCCAGTCGCGCTAACCCGTTGAGGCCACTTGGTCGCTTTCCTCCGCAGTCCTTTTGATTAGTTCCTCACCAGCCATTACGGAGTACTACTTACCTAGGGTTAGTTCATCTCCCTACGCTACTACTACTACTACGACTAGGTACAAGACTCGCTCGTCTATCCTCCCTTCTTCAATTATGACTCAAGTTGGCCATGTATGATCACATTATGGACACGTAGCTCACTTATTCACTCCCCTCATAACTCTTCACTCACATCTAGCTTCGATATGTAGAATTACCAATCCATTTAGTGTAAGATGCTACGCATGCGATTGTTACTATTACTACAATTGAGGACGAAGAGGCCATTCACAGCTCCAGACAATGTTTCAAAATATCTAGTAGATTCCATTATCTATCTAATATAAATGGTTCAGGCGGATAGCGGATAGGTATCATGGTATATAATAACAGTTCATTCAGAAAGGTTTTGGACAAACAAAGGAAAGGAAATTATCACGCGTCTTCATCGTAGCTAAGAGCTGTTCAAGATCAACCGTTCATATCTTCACACCTGGAATGTTGTATGGTGTCATGAGAAACAAGGAAGCTCACTGCGAAGATAAACTAGGCTCAAGGTCCAACCATACTCAGACAGTCATCGATGACTATTTCGAGTTCACCTAGTCGCTCCTTCAGGCCCTTATTTTCTTCCTTTAAAATTCCCAGGACGCTCCAAGCTTCAGAGGAAGGAACTCCGTGGCAGATCCCACATTTGGAGTTACTCGTCCACGAGCTAGTAATACCTTTGAGCACTCGGTCATATGCCGATTGCCGTGGCGTAGGTGTTTGTGGGAGAGGTTTGAGTTCTTTCTCTTTCAAAGGAGTTGATACCGGTGCGGGCAATGTGATATGAGAGATGCTTGGAGAAGGAGCTACCGTAGAAGCCGGTGATTCGAGGCCTTCCCGGCGCGAAAATACGCTTTCTGCGAGGCTTTCGTCCCCCGAGTCAAAGCCCGAATCGCTGGCGTATGTGGCATTGCTAGCACGCTTCATGTTCCGCGTGGGAGTTTGAAGGTCAGCGCCCAGGTCGGAAATGCTCTCATCATCACTAGACCTGATGAGTCTGATACTGCGCAAGCGCGCTTCATCTTCTCTCTGGCGCAATTGTCTTTCCTGCTCCAGCTCCTCCGCCATGGCATTCATAGCCTTTTCTTGTTGATTTACCTTCTCTGCCATGCCATCCAGCTGTATCTTTAGGTTTCCAACTCGGGTCCGGGTCTCTTCCAACTCTTCTTGTTTCTCATTCTTGTCGGCTAGTGCCTCATGCAAGGCGAACGTTCTTTGCTTATAGGCCGTCTGCAACCTTTTGATGACGGTCTCCGCGTTGTTCCTCAGGGTATCGAAAGCTTCCTGTTCGCTGAAACTAGTAGCTGTGGCTGGGAATAGAGCAGCAGCAATGTCCAAATTCAGGAATTCATCATCTGCAGGCTCAGGGAGCTCCATTTTGGGTTCCTGGCGCTTCAACCCAAAGAAAGAAAAAGGACTCGACGAGGTTACCTGCTTTAGAGGTGAAGGAGCGGTCATACGCTTCTGTGCTCGCGATGTAGGGACCTTAGGGGATCCATAGAAATCGCGAGCGTCCATCGTCGACGTTCCTGTAGGCTCTGACTGAGACATCACACCCAGATTAACTGGTTCAGACTTGCCCTGAAACCAGCCTGTGAATAGCTTCGCACCTTCCTCTAGTTTTCTCCTTGTGAGATTCTCCGTTGGCGGAATCGAGGGTCTATCCCTACTGTCGAGATCTTCCAGTGTCTTGGACTGGTCTGCAAAGAGTTGTCGGGCCGGCAAATGTGACTGTCGTCGAACAAAAACCTCAGTATTTGCACGTCGGTGGAAAGATTGGTTTGGAAGAGACGGTTTCTCCGACAGGGCTGCATGCGAGTTCTGTACTAACGAAGTCGCGGAAACTTCCTGGTGGGATAACTGAGGGTCATTGCAAGGCTGAGACGATCCTTTTCGCTCGGTCGGGGAAATTGTAGAGGGCGAGCTCGGGGCGTTGATGACGGACGTGGCAGTAGTCGAGGTATGGTCGGCGTTTTGAAGCATGGTCAAGTTACGTATGACAGGACCGGGGGTATAAAAGGGATTATTGGCTCAGGGATTATGTAGGTATGCGATCAGTCGCACCACTTGTACAAGATTTGGAATGCCACGTCGAGAGGCGGTTCAGTCCAATGCACGGTCGCCCACGGCAAACACCTGGTTGGGAGACAAGAAAAAGGAGAAGCGGAATGTACCTCCTGAGACCTGACCGGTCTCTTTGCTGAGTTTTGGTTGGAAGGTGGGGGGTTTCAGATCGAAGTCAATGAGAATGAGGTAGAGGAATGAGTATGGGAATTTCACAAGGTCCAATGACTTGAGACACAGGAGCAATAATTATTCAAGCGAGTAGTGAAGGCAAATCGTCACAGAGAACCTCGAGATTGCTAAGTTCTAAACGCCAAGCGATAGCGATCAGTACCCGCACGTGCCCCTATCACGGACAGACCAGAAATATGCGCGAGATTCTAAAATGGATCTAACCCCGTAATTCGCACTTATTTTGGGCCTGACTGGCAGTAGTATGAAGCACTAAAGAGGAGATTCAGATTGTTTGAGATCGTTTCACGCGATGGGACAATTCGGCTCCTATGAGACGCGGAAATATCGAGAGGCTGGTTATATTGTTTGGAAGAAAAATGCGGTGGCTGAACAGCTACTTTCCAGTACTCCACTACGATGCGGCAATGCGCTAATATGACAGGATCCTGGGCACGTTTTCAACGTTGATCGCTGGGCTAGTAGGTTATTATTAGACTAATTTGCCTCACAGGTCAGCTACTGCTGAACATAATCTGCCCCATACTCCTGGCTGAACGACGTCATTTACATAACTTTCATATGCCACCGCCATGGAAAGAGAAGCCATACATGTGTATGGGGAGGTATTGAGTTGCATGCATGTCACGAGTGACGGACGGTCTGCAATGTCTGATCTCAGGCATTCGAGCCACTGTTTCAAGTCCGTAAGATTATCTGCCTGTCGATCAGACCCTCCGATGGACTTGACCAATCACGGCGTTTTGCAGAATGAGATATTTGTGGCAGATATAGTGGGCATCAACCCTAATCACATTGCAAGATTGTACTCTCTATTTATGTGGTCGATTCTAGTAACCAAAGGATGAACTCTTTACCCCTGTCTCCAATGAAACAACAGCCACGGGAATGAATGGGGAAGAAAGGTTTGCGGCCCATGGGTCGCGCTGTCATCTCCACCACGAAGCTTGCTTAACATACAGAAATTGTACTCCGTACCTTCTCACCTGATACTGGCTCTTTTAGGGTCATACCTTAGTCGTACGAAACTCTCATTGGCTCTTTATTCGTGGGATAGACCAACGAATCCAAACTGCCTTGGCTTTGTTGAAATTGCGCAGGACACGTGAGCTGCAATGTAAGAGTCAATTACTAGTAGTACTATGTAGAGTATTCCATAACAGAGCTACCTTACTAACTAGCTCGATCACACATCCATGGATACAAGGGATACTCTCTTCCTGGGCAAAAGTCCATGTCCAGATCGCTACGCATGTGCATCGAGAACGGCTTCGATCGTAGCGCCAATCATCGAAGACCATTAGACTTAGTGCGCATACCATTCAGTCACAGGACTGCGGTTACTGATGGACGAGTTCTTGTCTCTGGCAGAACAGTTACCTTCCACCGAAACAAGACGTATGGAGGATGATGTACTCGAGTGACCCTCGTTCCGCGGGATAGTCGAGGCATACCATTACTTTTGCCTTGTCAATTCCGGAAAGCGAGAACGAAGCTCCCCAGTAACGTTCGGTATATAAATGAACTTCAACTGCAATATAACCTCGGCGCACTGAATCCAATTGATACAGCTTGATAACTTACATTATAGAACCATTCAAAAGCAAGAAATATTTCTAACTTGTTATGGATTCCGTGGGCTTCTCCTTCCCTAAAGCGGTGCAAGAAAAAGGCGGTAAGGTTGTCGCAATGGACGTAAGCTTCGATTTTGCCGAAGATGTCACGGTGGAGCAAGTGAACTAGTTACCATAACCCAGGCATTCTCAGTATCCTCATAAGGCGATAGTTGCATATCTAACAATAATTGAGACTTCAGCCATTGTTGTATTTCGGTTCGAAGGTTCTTCTAAATTCTTTAACATAACCGATGGCACGTTCATCCACAGACGGACTGAAATACCTGTCCAACGCTCTCGCAACACCCGAACAACTATCCAGTTCATCGTCAGCTATCGATGGCGTTGCTCCAGAACTAGAAGCATCTATTCGATTTGCCGGCACTCAACTGACCCAAGCTGCTGGGGTATTACTCCGATTGTCGCAAGATATCATTGCGCAGGCCATTGTCACATTTACCCGGTTCTGGATAGGTGCTGAAGGCGGGAGCCTTCGAATTTACTCTGTCAAGGTTGGAATCACGTCATTCCCCCCATAAATCTAACGAGGAGCATTGCTGACGTGGAGAATTTTGTAGGATGTCTCTGCTGCAGCTCTATATATGACGGCTAAGCTATCCTTCCAGCCTACATCACCCCGATCGGTATTGAATGTCTACAACTTCCTAGTATCGAAGGACGCTTCTCCTTTATGGTTCATCAACCCGAAGGGGGTATCAGAGAAGCCCTCCCCTGAGACATACTGCCTATCCGAGGGGGGCTACCAGAGCCAGCGAATGGTGCTGCTTCGGATCGAATCGATAATATTGCGCACACTAGGCTTCAATACCCATGTTGCCCTCCCCCATACTATCGCGTTAACCTACCTTCAAACCCTCGGTGTATCATCTTCTGCTGTTGCGCAAAGGGTGTTCGAGCATCTGAACGCAGCTCTGCTATCACCACAGCTGCTATATGTGACACACCAACCCAACGCCCTTGCTGTTTCTTCTATATATTTGGCCGCACGAGAAGTCGGGATAAAGTTGGTTGATGGCGAGTGGTGGGAAGTCTTTGATGTGGACCGGGAAGAACTCGGATTCCTAGTGGTAGGCATGAGAAGTATGGAGGGCTTTGCGCGGGCGGAAATGGAGAAATGGAAGGGACGGGTGATACCTATGATTGTGGACGAAGTTGAGGCAGAGATTGAGAGGAGGAGAATGATGGCAGAAGGCGAGTGAGAAAAGACAACGACTTCATGTGTATTATTTTTCTCACGTCTGTGGCACGCACATCATTGAAGAGCATCTAGACACTGCCCTTCCATCCACCCTTGGTCACAGTCAACGGACAAAGGACGTGGGGATGAGCGTTGATCTTGTATCGCTCGGCCCTATCTAAAGAAGACTCTATGGTCTCTTGCTTTGTGGGATCTTCCTTGGGGCAATTTAGTGCTTGACAGAATCCTTATTTCGTCCTGGGTCTGTTGGCAGGAATATGGCCTTGCTGCAGCTCATGGACCATAAACGTACCAAGCAGGACCGAGGTGAGTCTGTGTATGTAAAAGGCAATGATTGGTTATACCATTTGAACATAATCCAATGAAATGTAAAAGACGATACAGTATGTCTGCCTTCAGTTTAGTGAGAAAATAATTGCATGACTCAACCGTTCTATTTGCCTCAGGAATCTGTTGGGCGTGATCCATGACATGCCTCAGCCACATGATATACCCCGCGTGCCGCCATAGACCGCCACACTACCGATAAGCTGCTTCGATCACTACAGCTTCTCCCTCCTTTCCTTTCTCCTTCACATATACCACAATCCAGACTATTGATCTAGTACGCTTCACATAGGTTACAACTGTTACTATGAATATTCTCCATTCCACTCTCTCCACTTGGAGAGACCGTCTTGCCCCAGTGTCCCGCACCTCCACCTTTCGCAATACCGGCCAGATCACTCCCGAGGAATTCGTTCTTGCAGGCGACTACCTTGTCTACAAATTCCCATCGTGGTCTTGGGCCGACGCGTCTTCCCCCGCAAAGCGCGTTTCCTACCTACCCCCTGGCAAACAGTTTCTCGTTACCCGGGGCGTACCCTGCCACCGCCGACTGAACGACAACTTCGCTGGTGATGCGGGCCACGATGATGAGCTTGTTAGGGACATGCTATCTGGGGGAACAGGTGGTAATGATGATGATGGGTGGCTACGAACAGGCGGAGGCCAAGATTCTGCAGACCGACAAGAGAACAGGATAAAGGATGTACGAACAGTGGATGAGTCCGGGAACATGGGAGAACGGGAGGAGGAAGAGGACGAAATACCCGATATGGAGGATGAGGATGATGACGAAGAAGCTATTATCAGAGAACCAGCATCTGGTACCACGCAGTATGTCTCTAACTGTTCTTTTCTGCCGCGGATGCCTGCAGTCAGCTTTCTAACATAGAACATATAGGCCTACGCGCACTTACAACCTTTACATCACATACTCCAACTTCTATCGCACGCCACGTCTCTACATGTCCGGTTACCTCTCGCCATCAGAACCCCTCCCCCCACACCTGATGATGGAGGACGTTGTGGGCGATTATAAGGATAAAACCGTTACTCTCGAAGATTTTCCGTGGTACGATGGGAACGTCAAAATGGCCAGTGTACACCCATGCCGACACGCTTCAGTGATGAAGACACTCCTCGATCGTGCAGATGCAGCGCTGAAACTCCGCCGCGAAAAGCTGAAGCAAGCTCAGTCTGACCCATCCAAGGCGCCTTTCGCTGGCGAAAGCGGCTTAGAAGGGCTAGTCGATGACATCAAGGCACTCTCCCTGAGCGACCAACAACAGCAAGGCAGTGACAAGAGCGGCGGAGATGAATGGGAGGTTTTACAGCACGATGAAGAAGAACAGGTTGCCATCAGAGTGGATCAATATTTGGTCGTTTTCCTGAAGTTCATTGCTAGCGTGACACCAGGGATTGAACATGATTTCACCATGGGAGTATGATCGAAGTTGCCTCACAGCTCTGACTTCGGGGTTCGAGTTTTCTCCTTCTCTTCATTACTGTTTTCTGGCGCGATGGTTATATTGATGATGGCATGGTTTCACAATCAGTTTTTCGGAGTATTACAGTTCAACATTAGCAGGTGATTTAGACATTCAGCGAACATTCATTTCTTGTCCTTGCTCTCTGTCCTCATTTTCTCAAAAGTGTATGGTCTCGATCCACACCTCGACCCCATATAAGATGTAAACAATAGCCGATCCCAATATATAGTATTGACTCCGACGGTAATTAAGACAGTCAAAGCCGCGCAGTCCACTGCATCAGTCTACATTTACCATTCTGGTCGTCCCCAGACTGTGTCAAATGAAACATGCTAGCTCGTTTAGGACTTGGCGTAGTGATTTCCAGATAAACTTCAATATTTCCTTATGCTTTTGTACCTGTACATACACAAGAAGTTTCATTTCCATAGACGACTCCTGACATGATTGTGGCTTCATACGATACACCCTATCCGAACTTTACCTCCTCCGCCACCCTGATTTAAAATTGGAGGCTGAAGTATGAAGCAACTCCTCAGGTGGAACGCGTCGCTTTTTCTGTTCTTCATATTTTATTCCTCCTGTCTTGATGGTTTTTCTCTCTGTGTTATATTTATTATGTAAGTAAATAATCTCCAATAAATAAATAATAAAACCAGTGCTATTGAAACTAGTGGACAGGAAAATATCCGAAATATGACTTGCAGGTAAATGGTCCACTTTGTTGATGAGACCCGTCCACATCGATATATACATTCGGGCGCCACCATTTGGAATTAAACCCAAATAGCAACAATAAACCAGATAATTTGGCATTCGTTACATGTAACCTGATAAATCATATTCGAGCGCAATAATTGCCTGTATTTTATTAGTAATAATTCAATATTAATAGGTACTTTGCCAAGTTTGGTCTTTCACTATATGACAGATCTGATATTGCTAACGTAAGGACAATAATTGTAATGTATCTTCTTATTTCTCTATATAGATATATATGTATTCTTTAATACGATATGATAAATGTATTTTGCCACTCGTTAGGAGTCGCCGAAGTAGGTAAGTAAGTTGGTTATTGATTCGGCATAGACTCTACTAATAGCATGGACTATCATTCCTCTTTAGAATGAAAGCAGACACATAAGATGAAAAAAAAAATCATAATATAATGAGACATACAAAGCCAATAGCTAAATTAACATAGAGTGGCAAATACACCTGGAAAATGAAAAATAAATATATAGGATCAACTGCATCCTCCCCACAGCATCGTCGGGACGGAAGAGGCTAGAGGCAATTGACAGGTCAATTTTCACAAAAAGAAGGGTAAGGTACTTCTAGACAGTATGGTCTTTTCGACAGTAAGAGACTGGCGTAGCAGGAAGACCTTATGCTGCGCATTTGCATGTGTAGACGGGCTCCGGCACTACCACTGGCTGGGGCTCAGGTTCTGGCTGAGGCTCAGGCTGGGTTTCAGGCTCGGGAGCTGGGCACTCTTCAACAGGCTGCTCAGGCTCCTCGACCGGGGCCGGGGGAGCCGGGACAGGAGGAGCAGGAGGAGCAGGAGCAGGAGCGGGGGGTGATGGAGCAGGGGGTTCAGGGGCAGGCGCGGTGGTCAGTGGAGGGGTGGGGACAAAGGGAGTTGGTGATGGAGGCAGAATGGGCTGGACTGGGACTTGAGAAGGTGGAGGGGAAGGCTGGGGCTCTTGCGGAATAGGAGTAGGAGTAGGAGTAGGAGTAGGGGTAGGCTCGGGCTCAGGCTCAGGCTCAGGCTCAGCTTGCTCATAGCTAGAATGCGCCCAGCTTCCCAAGTTAACGCTGGGGCCATCCGGAATAGAAACTATCGTATTATCGCTTGCGCCAGCTTCGGATGAGGAGCTGGAGCCGCCGTTTTTGCCAGGACCTTCATGGTAGTCGGAAAATGCGTGAGAGCCGCTTTTGTATGAGGGTCCGTCGGGGATGGAGATATCCCATTTAGATCCTGCCTCAGCCTCGCTGTTGACCTGTCTCGCGACAATGTTTTGGTCCTGATCTTCGTCAGTATATTGCACGAAATGTAGCAGACAGGGCACACGAAGTCTTCATACCGCAGCAATAGGCACGGAAACAACCGAGGCAGGTCCAGCAGCCAGTAGCAGGACCAGGAAGGCTGAAAGGCTCTTAGCGTCATACATCGTTGCGAGAATGGTAGTGACTGTAACACTTTGGTGGATGGAATGTCGAATAGCCACGGGATAGAAAATGCTTCTCGAATGAATGGATTTAGTCAATGATTGGAGGCTTGATAGAAGTGATGGAATGCGTTGATGAGAAGCAAGAATGAAGGAATGTAGACGGGTTTTATAGCCTTCTCGGAGTATCACCTTAGTACGTAGATAGGGTTTGTTCTCAAGGGCTCGTATACCCTTTCTAGGACATACTGCCCTAGAAACAAGATCTAGGGGGCTTCCAGCACAGGCTCAAAGCTTGGGCCAAGGGGCAAAGAAGGTAAAACAATAAAATTAGAAGGTACAGGATCCTGCAGGTAACTGTAAAGAGCTGCTGTAAGACAGTAAACTTACTAGATAATAACAGAATACGAGAGAATCGCCGGGGTTAAGGGATGAAAGGAGATAAGATAGGGATCTAGATCTGAGATTTGACGCAGGTCCATGCAAGGAGCCACAAACCTATTGGCGTTACCTGCCTAGTCAATAGTATGAACAAGACAAGGATTGTCTCAATTGGTAAAGAAGGTTTATTTAGTAGGGTATACATAAATGTTTCTCGGTAAAAAAAACCAAAAAGAAGCAAAAAAAAAAAAAAAGGTAATACATCATCCCAAATCGTCACTCATGATATCCATAGATAAAGCAGAAAGGACGCCCCTCCCGTGTATGAATGATAAATCCAACTGGTAATGTATGCAACAAATTCATAGTGTAAAATATATTGCCGCCGTGTAAAGTATCCAAAATTTTTTTAGACCCCACCCAGATTTGAGATACCAAATGCAGTACCAAAGTTCGTGCTATTTTTGAATTTCAGTTCTGGCTCCTGACTAGCGCGGCTTGCAGCCTCAACCTCGACCTCCGGAGCCTTGGACTCCTCAGAGTACCCCAGGGCCTGCTTTGCTTGATCAAGGAGCTTCTGGTCTAATTCCTTAAGGAAGCCACTGTCGTGCTCTTCATCGTTCAGTAGAGATAGAGGGCCTTTCAAGGCTGGATCTTCGGGTAGATCGGAGAAGTACGAATCGGAGTTTTCTGCGGGTTGCCGAAGTGTCGCTGGGACAAGGGATTCGCCCTCCTTCGAACGCCCTTCGCTTGGAGAAGGCTGCTCAATTTCCACATCGGCATCGGCGTCACCATCAATAACGACCATTGGAGTGTGTCCGGCATCCTTCGTCAACCTTCTCTCTAGTGTCCCCAACTCTGAAAGCCTTAACTTCAAACTGTTTCGGCGCTCTAGGGCTTTTTCAGATACTGAAGCCGGAGATGCCTCCTGAGGTGAAGGTGATGGAGGTGTCATTACGCGGGCGACAATTTCTGGAGGCAACGCAGATGATTTGAGCGTAATGCCATCAAGTTTGCTGTCGAGCTTCTCAATTGGTACTGGTACACTGGTGATTGCAGAATCAGCCGCATGGGCTCGAGGAGATAAAGCAGCGTCAAGAGAGGGCCCTGAGATTGACAAAACTCCGCCTTGCTCCGGGAGCTGACTGTGGCTATCTGACTTCTCTATTTCAGGGAATACTCTTGTGGGCCGACTTCCGGGGCTAGAACCCTCCCACACTTGAGCGCCACAGTGTTGATAATTCTCCTCGGATAAGCTTGCCGGAGGCTGTGGGTCAAATGGGTATTTAAATGTCAAACTGGGTTTCGATGAAGAGTCGGTTGAAGCTCTTGTGGAAGTAATTGTATGTCCATTACTTAGGAGCGACTCGAGTTCGGTGATCCTCAGTCTGAGCAGTTCCCGTTCTTTCTCCCATAGGAGCCTTTCTTCTACAAAAAGTAATCGTTCATTTTCGAAATTGGCCCGTTGACGAACAAGGAGCGACTGTGCCTGTTCCATGTAGCTTGCACTCAAGGCCGAAGCGTCCCTCTTGGTGGTCAATGTTCCTGGATGATGGACGGCATGGGCGTTCGGCACCGACTGGGTACGACGAATGGGAGTGGCAGTTGGTGAGAAGCGCACTTCCTTGTAGACGCTGCCGTGGCCGTTTGGGACCTTTGCAGCAATTGATGATTTCATGATTGTGGGTGGTGGTGGTAGCTGACTGTCGAGTAAGACAGTTCAAGGGATTGAATTCGATTGAGTACTCGAAGTGGACGAACCCTCCTATAAAGGGATAATTTGGGAGGGGATTTAGGGGAAAGAAAAGCGGTGCTGAATCAGAAAAAAAAAATCTTTGGGTACTTAATGACCATTAGCTACATGCTTCACAAGTGAATTGACAGTCATGAAACAGTCACAGATGTTTGTCGGTGGAGACTCCCCCAGGATGCGACGAATGGAACCAGGGGTTCCACCAGGGACAACCTACAGGAGTGGCGAAAAGCAAACGATCAGTGCTAGGTGTTTCCAATCGCGGAAAACCAGCTAAGTCACCGACTAATGAGGTATCAACGACGACGCCTGAAGCAGCCCTGCAAGAAGCGCATGGGAAGGATAATTGGGATTGGTAAAATGTAAAGTGGTGGGTGTCTGCAGCGACTAGGCGACCAAAGGCGGGAGAACAAGTGGACGATGCGCCTGACTTGCTGGGTTCACAAGCATGCAACAGCCGTTGGAAGCTGGTGTTGTTACCTGAGGTATTAGCGGAGCGGGTCTCTTGGACCGAAATTTAAGGCCTTAAGGCAAATGAATTAGAACTTATTTCATGCCAGCCCAACAAAGTAGGCGTTCATGATTGGCCCACATGCGGGGAAAATGCCACTTACTAGTATCAGTTAGTACTTAGTAGTAATTACTACTATGTACTAGGTAGTAAAGAGAGAAAATATCCTGTGGCTGGGCTTGAACGTCGCCTCGGTTGCCAGTGACAGGAAGTTGTGTGTTGTTTGTTTGTCCTCGAAATGAGTTTTTGGTTGCGTACGGAGTACCATCCGAGATATATGTACATGGAAGACATTACTAAAAAAACAACAATGACGTTGCGCGAATAATAAAAGTTGACATTATTTGCTCGACGGATGAGGTCTCAAGCCGATCACGAGGGGGGCCATGACGTTATTTTCCTGCTGTCACCCCCAAATGCCTCTCCACACTATTCTCGATAGTTGCCTGTCTTTCAACTTCCTAATGCGGGTGCCACCGGAAAATCTCATGAATATCTTCTATAATGTCTCATGCTCCACTCCGACTGGTGCGTGCAGGTGAACTTCTGAATGATCAAAGTTCCACCGAGTGGCGGGTGTCATGCAGAATTCCCGATCTAGTAATTCCGTAATCTTGTGACAGCGAGTAGGCGGTCAGCTTGGCTGCTACCGTTCGCTGTAGTAGCCGTTCCAAGCACTCCTACTAGTGGTCCTACTATTACTGTAGCATTATTCTTCCTTTACAAGTGCCGCTGCTTTACCAAGGTCTCACGTGATAATATACTTGGGCGCTCACGGATTGATCCGAGCACGTCAGCTAACACTCTGGGACACACACCAGAGAAATGCCCACTGAACCGTGCTCCGGGAATCCCTACAAAGAGCTCGTTTATTCTGTACCTATACTTAATACCGGAATAGTCTATCTACCCTTAACTGAAGCAATCTCCACATGAACAGCCCCCTCTCTACATAAATACTTGGGTTGATATCCCGAAAAAAAAAACTCATTAACCGGAATACTTATGGAAACATGGAAATTATGGCACTGCACTACAGTGCCTGCTGGGTTATTTGCTATCCCGTCCTATACGCCTCAGGCATATTAATGTATTTTATTCGGACTAGAAGTACCCATGTTCAACAGGATTCAGTGGCCATAACCTTGACCCCCTCTAGCGTTTTGTTCAATTCTATGCTCGTCCGCTTTCTGCAACATGGCCACTATTTTCGCACGTAGTTGTTGAGATGTTTGCCCTGCAGCGTTTGGCTGGTTCATCATATTAACCTTGCCAGCTTCCTGTAGGGCTACCATGATCTTGTCCAGCGCTGCTATCCTTTGAGTCAGTGTCACATTCTTCGTCCTTAAGTACGGCCGTGTCATAAGTTTATGAAGAGGCGTATTTCCTTCTGAGTCTTGAATCGTTGCGTCCGCCCCGAGTTTAAGAAGATACTTTAGTATCGGAATCTGTCGTAAACACATTGACATCGCGTGGAGAGCCGTGGCACCGGATTTATCGGTCTGGTGGATGTCGAGACCATGTACAATCAATAAATCTATGACAGCTGTATCAATAGGATCACAGTCTCGAGAGCATAGAGCTAATAAATGTAACATTGTTTTCCCTTCATAGTTTGATATACTCGCACCGGCACCATTCTCACATAGGAATTGGATAATATCCTTTAGACCTTTTCTGTTAGTGTCCACATAGTCAATTACCACATAGTGCAAGGCTATGGACCCTTCGTTATCCTGCATATTGATAGTGCTCGGATTGGCAGTCAATAATATTTTGAGGATATCAATATACCTAGGGAGGATTTCGTCTTCTCTGAAATATCTCTCTTGTTCCCGCGTATCATCGCCTATAGCTGCCCAGTGCAATGGTAGCATTCCAAAACTATCACGAACCGATACCATGTCTGCAATTTTGGCATTACCCGGATGATCCAGCAACGCCCGGACCCCCTCTATATTCCAGTAGATGCTTCCATAGTGAAGTGCGGTGACATCCCGGAGATCAGTTTTAAACCCAAATCTAGCGTCCACATGCTCCTGTTTCGCATGAACATTGGCTCCTTGTTCAATGAGACGTTTCACTAGCTTGTAGCTAGCTCTAGAAATGGCCAGGCTGAGAACAGTGTTGCGCGGTTGCGGAGGGAGACTAGTGTTATATTCGTTCCGGACCATAGTGACATCGTGGACTGAAGCATCCCTGTCGAGAAGCATATACATCAATTGTTCGCTTCGGGCCAGGTGTTCTTCAATCTGGTCACTCGTCACCTTGTCCAGCCATGTAAAGACTTTGCCGCGCTTAGGAGGGCCGTTTCACCCTCGGAAGATTTGTCGCGAATGTTTCCCAGCGGGGGCTGGCTGTCCAGTAGAAAGTGTACTGTTTCCAGCTGCGCGTACCTGCAGGCGGTGCTTAGCAAGACTATATCTCTTTCCTCAAGTGGCACTGCCTTATCCAAATTGGTAAGGTAGTAAGCTAGCAGTACACGAAGAGCGTCAACACATCCATGCCGTGTAGCCACAAAAAACACCTCATGGTAATAGTACACCAGTTCTGGTTCCAGCCCGGTTTCCGGATACTTCTCAATGTATCGTTTCAGTGTTTCAACATCATTACGGCGGATTATCTCGTCGCGGAGAACTTTCCAATCAGCCTCATACAGAATTGATCCATCTGTGTCGCGAAGTCCTGAATCCCAGGGATCCCCCGCCAGCGTACTTGGATTGTGAAACTGACTAAACGACATTGTTCAAGGTTCTTGTAGTGTGAATGGACGGCTGAAACAGCAAACGAAAAGGGAAAGGAAGGAAATGGATTGGAAAAGAAGTGGTAAAGGCACAGAATGGTTAGCACTATTTACACCTACAGTAAATTACCCAGGCACAAGTCCCGCCTAAGATCCAGTGCCGTACGATACAATATATATATATAAACATATATATTTACTGCGGGAAATTGGCTCAAGAAGAACCATCTGGCAGCCAATTCTCATCATACGCTCCGTCTTGGGGATTGTGCTGCTCGGTGGGTACGAATGACGGTACGATCGACCACTCATCACCACCATACGGCCGCAATCAACATTGATTCTGACTATTGTGTTCTATCGCATATGGTTTCCTGCTATACCATTAATGCATGCCATTTCCCGCTGAGAGTGTGTTGTTCCAAATAAGTTCACCTCTGGAGCAACTGCTCTACTTTCTTCCACTAATTTCACCATGATGATTGCTGGCCGGGGAAAGACCCTTGCAGTTCTTTGGTTTGTCGCCTCTTTCTTTGCTGAAGGTAATGCTTCACACCTGAGATCACACGAATATCTTCATGCATCCCGGCATCTGAGGCAGCGCAATGAGAACGTTAACCCGACTTTTTCTGGGGTATTCATGTTCCTAGCGGGGTCCCTGTCCTACATGAACCTGATGCCGGATTGTGAGAATGCCCTGTACCAGGAGGCCAACTGTGACGATGCTGTTTTATCGCTGATGACCGATGGGTGTGTAAGCAGCTTTGATAACTCCACGCTAACGACCTTGGCGTGCGACGCGGGCTGTGAAGCTGCCTTTGCGAAGCTACATAATACTGTTTTGACCAACTGGGGTAAAATGACCGAATTGGTTCCTGGTCTTCCAATCATAGGTCTGGTGGACCTGCTTTGGGGTAATTGAAATCAGTCCTGCTTTTCTGATCCCAATACTGGGAAAATTGCAATGGTAAGGAATTTATACCGCCTTTTCACATCATTATTCCTCGTCTTCAATGCTAACTCTAGTTCTAGATGTGATTGAGGCTTTTCCTGACATGGGTATGTCTAAGCTTCAAATCTGACCTATACTCATACTGTAACGTTAAGAAACTAGCCCTGATATAGGCTGACGCCTACACAGATATATACGATGATAACTGGCAATCAACGTATAAATATGTGGCTCAAACCTGTAACATCTCAGTCAGCAATTTCGATTCTACACCGAGTGCGTTCAATGTAACTGTGCCATCCTCCACGTCGGATTGTGTATCTGAAAATATATATACAACCAAGGAGAGCGACACGTGGGATTCCATTGCGTTAGCACAAAGTATATCCGCAGCCACGATGTTCCATATTAACCCTAATGTCCTCAACTGTTCTTCTATCTGGCCCAGAATCAATCTCTGCCTTCCGCAGAATGCGACAATGTCTATGTCGTGCAGCCGGAGGACACGTGCATTGATATTGCTGTTAATGTCGGAATCCGCACGCAAAACCTCACAGACTACAACTCTCAGCTGACCTGGAACTGCTCAAACCTGCACGCACTCAACCCCTACTGGGGTACGACTCTGTGCGTATCTGCCCCTGGAGGGACATACACGGGCCATACACCAAACACATCAACATTTACCGGATCTGAAATTGTCAACCCACCCGCTAGCGCCAAGGTGATCCCTGGCACCACGATAGACTGTAGGGCGAGGTATATAAACAATACAGGCCTCACCTACACTCAAATCTGTCTTACAAATCAGATTGCCATCAACCTCTTCACGGAGGCAAATCCCTCGCTCAACAAGACGACCTGCGATAAAGACCTGGTCCAAGGGAATGCTTACTGTGTTAATCTACTGGATGGTTGGAACTGGGGATCCGGGGCTAATTCCACCGGCAGCCCTACACCCACCATCTCAGCGCCGTCTACTCCACCAGCACCAACCCAGACTGGTACCCCTGCTAACTGCAATGCCTTCTACATTGCTAAGGGTATGTCCTGAAGCCTCCAAGAGCCTTTGTCAGCTACATATAAGCTAGTAATAATCTTCTAGCTGATAATGATTGTGGGACTGTTGCAGCCAAGTTTGGTATCACAAAGAGCCAATTCTATAGATGGAACCTAGCTATTTCATCGGATTGTTCAAGTGGATTCTGGGCCGAGGAGGCGTACTGTGTGGGTGTATTCGGTACTTCCAGTACACCAATCACAAGCATATCCGCGAGCACACCTACGTCTACCTCAGCGTCTACATTGGTAGTGCCTCCTGCTCCAACGCAATCAGGTATTCCTGCAAATTGCGATGCATGTTACGTTGCTCAGGTTATGCTCTTCGACGTTCAACCGTAACCCTTTAACCTCTGACTAACCGTGCTCCAGCCGGTGATGACTGTGACACTGTCGCGTCCAAATTCCAGATCACAAAGGCTCAATTCCACGAATGAAACCCTGCCATATCATCGGACTGTTCTAGTGGCTTCTGGGCCGAGGAGGCATACTGCGTGGGTGTATTCGGCACCAGCAGTGCAACATCCTCACCTACACCCAACCTAGTATATACGGGCTCGGTAGTACCACCTGCTCCGACGCAATCCGGAATCCCCGAAAACTGCTCCAAGGATTACGTTGCGCAAGCTGTGTTTCGCCTCTTAAGTCCCTTATCATTCTTTCCATTCACCTCCCTTACCCTACCTCAACCTGTTAATCACTTCAGCAAACCTGAACTGACCATTACGTGCAGCGGATGATACTTGTGCGACTATTGTAGATAAGTTTGGATAACCAACGACCAGTTCCATTCATGGAACCCAGCAGTCTCGGTAGACTGTGTGAGCGGGTTTATGGTTGATGAGGCGTACTGCATCGCGCTGTCGTAAAGAGTATTTGTGAGGTATAGTTTAGGATTAACAACCGGTGTTTGCTAGCCTCAGTATCAACTTTTTGATTTTGAGTTGCTTCGCTTTACATATCTATCTATTAGGCTCATGATCTAGATGACGTGGCACTCATCCTCCAGTATCTTTCCATAATTGCCAACCTTCCCCAAAATTATCATATTGTCCTATAGGCATAGTTCGCTTAAGAAATCCTTTTACTAGTAATTCATATATATAGGCTAACTCTACGGAGTAGTTGAGCCTAAAAACTCATTAGGCTCAAGTAAATCTTACCACGACCCTCTACCCGCATTTACATGACCTTTCGTTTTGCTTGGAACCGGACATGCAAAAATGTATGATACAACAAATACGATGTTAAATACTCTCATATCACTGCTGAACTAGGATGCGACACAGACGGTGAAATTGCTACATTGGGGCCCTGTTCATCTCACTGTGCTCTCTTAGACTATGTTTTAACCTGCCACTCAATGTAGTCCTGGAGCGCTCAGCACACGCACTTCTGCCTTGCTCCACGCCCGGGTTCAATCACAGAGCAAAAAGCGGCCTTGATCTAGTCCCAATTTAGTGCTAGTAGTAGTACAGTAGGTACTAAGCGTCTTAGTAGTCCACTCCATGGTTTGTTACCCCTTCGATGGCCCTTTTCACTTTCCATTTAGTACTGTAGAGCCAATCAGTTCGGTCGCATTGCCCGGGATCTCTTTTGAAAGTCTCAAATAATTGATCTATTATAATGTCAACCTTACTCGATCGATCCAGTCGATCTCTACTACTGCTTTTTGTTTCTTGGAAAGCTCTTTTACTTCTCCTGGTCGTCTTCAGTCCCGGCCCTGCGTATGATACCTCGACCGCCTTACTGGCGCTGGGCCGTAATGCAGCTAATACAGACCGCCATGGATTGTTGACGCCAGTATTGGGCTTGCTTGCCACTAATTTAACCCGATGGGACGCTATCTATTTTACAGAGATCGCTCGTCGAGGCTGCCTGTTTGAGCAAGAATGGGCATTCAATCTTGGGTTCGCAAGCCTCATCAGAACCTTAGTTGATGGTGAGGGCACTTGCACCCCGGAGAGCTCTGCTTTTACCGACTAACTATATGCCAGTTCTCCGACACGCAACCGGCATAAGCCATGCATTAATAGAGAGTATCATCGGCATCACCGTAGCTCATGCAGCTCACGGCATGTCGGCTTTTGTGCTTTACAGTCTAGCACGTGCTGTGTTTCCCGGAAGGAAGGGCCGCAACCTTGCATTTATCGCCGCATGTTTACACATCTTATCGCCTGCTGGACTATTCCTATCGGCTCCTTATGGCGAGAGTACCCACGCTCTCTTGAGCTTCATGGGTTCCCTCTTGTTTGTACTGAGCTTTAGTCATTCAGGGGCTCCCTCGACTCTCCATGATGTCTTGATCCCGCTATCTGGTATCTTGTATGGATTAGCAACAGCCGCTCGCAGCAATGGTCTTCTAAATGGCATGATTCTCTTTGAGGAAGCCGTAAGGCTCTTGTACTCAATGACTAAGGGGATCACCTTCGCTAAAACACGTCGGCTAATCGCTGTTGGCATGGCTGGGATCTGCACGGGCCTTGGCTTTGTGTTACCACAATATATTGCTTACGAGCAATTTTGCATTAATAACAGTGATTCAAGGGTATGGTGTCTTAAGACTATTCCCAGCATCTATAGCTTTGTTCAAGACCATTACTGGTATGTGCACTTTTCGGTAGTCACCATATCTATTCTAACGCTAGTAGGAACAATGGTTTTCTTCGGTATTGGACTCTGTCCAATATCCCCCTGTTCGCTTTAGCTGGCCCAATGCTGGCAATCATGACATACTCTGCTATTTGGACACTTGGCGTGGGATCGGATGGACAGAAAACGGGCAATGGCAAAAGTTCCTCTAATATGTCCAAAACGCAAGTTCACTCGGAGGCGCCATTAACAGGTCGTCTATTGCGTAGTCTAGCGGCTCCCCAAATAACCCTAGCCCTCCTGACTTTCCTGAAACACCACGTTCAAATAATCACACGCATGTCCTCAGGCTATCCAGTGTGGTATTTCTGGCTAGCACATGCCCTAGTTGAGGGGCACTCGCTAGCGTCATCGGAGAAAGTCGACGTATGCCGGGGTAAGAAGGAGACCCAGATCATGAACCAGTACCGGTACGCACGCATGACTGTCTTCTACATGGTAGTTTATGCCCTTGTCCAAGGGGCTCTTTTCGCTTCTTTCTTACCCCCAGCGTGAGAAACTTGCTTACGAGCAACAAATGCTATACAATTTCCTCACCAAGCATAAAGTCTTTAACCGTTTGCAGTTAGCTTGACTAGGTGGCCCTGTGGAGCTGCTATCTATTGTCAGCAGTAGGCCATAGTAGACGGTGGGTAAACAATTAATCAACTTAGCTAATTCAATTAACCAATCTAGAAGCTATTGGGTTTAAGGCACTTGAAATAGATGGTGTCTGGTATACTGATCACAGGCATTGCCTGCAGCATATCTACTTCCACAGCCGACTTAGCAACCACACAGTATGATCATCTGAGCAATGGAAGTCTATTATTATACCGAAATCTATAAGACATGCTATGTAACCCTTTTTGAACACGATCCTTGCGCCCGAAACCATGATTTCCTTGCCAATCTCAGCTGACTCGAAAACTCCCGCTAATGATCCTGACCGATGAAGGGACTCCGAGACATAATTAACATGGTGGGTGGAGAATGAACAGAGACGTTATTATCTCCGCATCAAATTTCGAAAAACGTCATGGCGCATCGACCGCCAATCCACAGGGATAAGGCTTTCCCCACCCTTGAAATCCCCAAGTGAAACCCCAGAAAGCCCCCTGAAGCGGAGAGTGCGACTAGGTATAATGCATCGAAAACCTGATAATGAACCCCATCCAAAAGGGGGAAATCAAGAAAAAGGTAATAAAAAAGAGAAAAATAAGAGAAGGATCACAGGCTAAAGAAACGCGCGCTCCTGCGACCCCCTCCTCCCCATCTGAATCTTCCTCTTGGCCTCATCCATAACATGCCGATGAATAGACGGCAGCGCGAAAAACTGCATCTCTTTCCTCATCGCCCCAAACTTCGTCGCCAGATACCAAACGCCCCTAGCCGACAGCTCCCTGCCCCCAACAGCAGCCGACGGGAAATAAAACCTCGGATCAAGGTAAAACACAACACTGCTCCAATTTGGCAGCTTCTCGCTCAGAATCTTCCCGGCGCGCTCATACTCCTTCAAGGTCCGCTTCGGCACGCCCGTCTGCGAATGCACAAAGAAGAAGATCTCAAAGCCGACGCTGCGAATGCGCCTGCGTGCCGTCTCACTAAGTGTATCCAGGAACGCGCCCAGCCGGTCCAGACTAAACGCATTCAGGAAGAAAAGCGTATTGTGCGAGTAGAGGAAGTCTTCGACTTCGTCGTGGATTTGCCGGTTCACGGAGAGCAGGCTGCGGACTTTACCATTCTCGCCTACCCAGCTGGGACACATTGATAGAGCGCGGTAGCGGCCCCGCGCTGTGAAGGAGTTCCCGCGATCGTTGACCACGATCAGCGGTCTGTCCATGTACTCGTTTGGCACATCCAGGGCGTATTCATAGATCATTAGACGGATTTCAAGTGGTAAGCGGAGGAGGGGAGATTGTGATATTTGTGCCATTTCTTCTCTCTTTGCATGAGCGCCTGGCTCAATTGCTGTTTGCGAGTTCGTATATGATAGATAGATGAATAGATAAGATATTATGTTGAAGCTGTTCGGGTATAGATGGAGGTTATTGCCTTCTCGGAGAAAACGTGAAGTAAGACGGTATATAAGCTCCAAACGCCATACGGGAAAATGTCATCATCGACTGATCCGTATCACACCCTAAGCCATAGCTCCCCGATGGCCTCACGTATAGTAATACA